AAATATGAAGTTAACAGTCTCCTGACTTAGGCTTTTGGCTTAAGGTCGTATTATTCTTAGACAGTGTTGGCTGTTTTGTGTGCCAGGTGATGATTAAAATCAAACTTCCAGAAGGAGAGATATAGAGTAGTAAACTGGGCCTAAAGCATAATTAACAGTGAAGATCACTTTCTCCAGTTACCATGTTAATGGTAAGTGCAGTGATGTGTGTTGGTTAGCGAATAAAATTCTACAGAACTACACCAAACAAACTGTTTCTGGGTAGAGTGAACCACTTCACATTGCTTTACATATAAGTGAATACTACTTCCAGAAAAAGAAATGTTTATAAATGTAATTTGAGTGACTTACTTTGTTTAGTTGGTATAAGATTAAAAATAAAAATAAACATCTGTTGATAGGATAGTTATAGTAATTTGTGCACACAAGGAATTTAGGCGCATTATTTTATAATTACGTCGTAACAGGCGATTTCATCTTTCATAATAGTTTTGAGACTTTTAACTTGTCAATCAGTTATTCTTACTCGCGGGAATACTGGTTACTGCACTTGGCTAAACTGTATTTTTTACACCAATTTTATGACAACACTCTTCAATTCGACTTTATGAAAGCATAGATCGCAGATAATGTGACTTGGACACTCCTAAACTCAAAGAAATTTAAAATATGAGCTCGTCATTCTGCTGTCTAAATTAAACCCTTTACTAATCGAAGTTACTGGTGTGGTGTTTTCTTGATACCGACTTTTGATAGCACTGGTATGTAGTGATTAGGACGTCACTTTCATACAACTCAGTAATCTCAAATGTCGTGCTTTATTACTTCATAATGTGATTTTCACATAGTTCGCATTAACCTAGATTGCCGGTCAGGATTTACATTCAATAGAACGAAGTGTTACTTGCTGCCTACAAATAAAAATGAATTGTATAAAAAAATGGCAAAATCACCTATGAACATATATAAATAGTCAGTGACTGGTTTAAATTCCTCATATCCCACAGGTTGATATCTCAAGATGTTATTCTCCTTTATGCACATCGGTTAGACTTAAAAGTCAATATTTTACTCGTTTATAAACTTAGCTAATAGAAAGTACACTTCTAATTTACTCAGTCAGTACTACTTAAATATCTATTTTTCACTATTCTTCATATCATTTTCACGTTTGTGACCCTTAGTGCTGACTTATAACTGATATAAAAAATCGAAAGAAGTATACCAATCCAAAATTACCCCAGACATTCCACCGTCAGCATATATATATAAACTTATCTATGGCTCATGAAAAGTTAGAAATTCAAGTAGTATTACATCGATTGGTCACTAGGATGTAACCAGTGGCATATGCTGGTGCTGACTGGATTCTGTTAGTCACATTTACAGTTTGGTCACTGAGTTATGTGACTCTCCATTGTAATTCATATGATATACCTATTAAAATAGTACGAAAGACAAATCGTGAACCCGGACAGTTCAGTGGCAACTTTTCTGGTCGCAGCATTGGTGGACGAGGTTTCAAATCTTCGAGAAGACACCAGTTCCTGTGAACTTGCGGATACGATTTGCCCACAAATGCCTATAAACAAAAAGTTACGTAAAGGGCTATATGTTTATTGCATGCAACTATCTAACTCCAACTTCACAACGAGAATATGATCTGTTCGATCAGCTACATCATGCTGCTTGAATAGTTAGGCAAAACAAAACTGAATAAGTAACCTGTTTAATAGGTAGTTTCATAAACACGTATCGTTTTTATTATTTATTTCATTCCCTTACGTTCCCAGTAGAACATAGGGTCTCAAGCTACAACTTTGAAGTTTCGATACCAGTGGTTTTTAATTCTACGGGGTGTGTTTGCTAGCCGCATGCCCAACCTTCCCTCTTCTCTGAACTTGCTACCGGCTTAGCGAGGTTTAGGAGTGTGTCGTCCAGGGATCGAACCCCAGACCAAGTGCGTTGTTGGTGAGCTTTCTGTTGCTGTACCACCGACTCGACTAAGGCAGATCCAATCAAAGTTAGTCTGATCTGATTTAATAAAACAATGTGAAAGTTAATCTTAGTCTTCAGAAGTCCATGTTTTCGATTCACCACTTCATCAGGACGAATCGGTCATGAATAATGTCAAATAGGAAAAATCATAAGTGGAGAAGGTATTACTTCCATTTTTTATCCCAACCAACATGGTCAGTGATCCACTGTCATCAGGTAGTGACAGGAGCTAAGATAACTACAGTAACATAATACCTTTTAACTAGAATTCCACTTGTGTTCTCTACAAAAGTTTCTGTTTGTCAGTTATGTGATTTGCATGAATATATGGATTCTGTGAATACGCAGTACATTGAGTTATATGATACAACGTGAGCTACCTCAACACATCTCTTAGTAGGCTGTAGTTTCATGTTTACTTAGTAGCACGAAAATGTGCGAAAAAATAATCCGGTGACGGAGCAAACAGAAGGAATTTTACCCCTGGAAAAGGCAATGATTACTCACATATTTATATTTACACAGTGTAAATCTGTCGGAAAATCTGCTTTATTCATCATAAATCAGTAGATGAACAACGAATGCACTTCAAAATACAAATGTATTCTAGTGGCTTACACTTTTGGAGTGAAATCAATTTTTTTCCAAGTTTATAAATTCAAGTTCCAGGCGTTTTTCAGACATGTCATTCATTCACATTTTTACTTGATTGACAGTGTAATGTTTATTATTAACATTAATTATGATGCCAAAATTCTATAAGGTATACTGTTTTTACAAAAATAATTTGCCACCTCAAAATGTCTCTAGAACACGTACCTTTTTAAGGTTATTAAAATAAAGTATTTATCTCATGAAAGGCAAGATAAATCTGAACTGAAGTATACATATTTATGCATAATTACATTAATAATAAACCAGTGTATGCGCCTATATAAGAGTGACTCAATTTAATTTCTTTTAAAATTAACCAAGTTACACAAATGGTTCTTCAGGATGTTTGTATGCCTCTGCAATTCATGGAATGCCACTAATACAGTTTAACCAGTAACTATAAATTGTAACTAACAGACACAAAACAAACTGGTGTTTTACTCAGCTGACGAGGTGAAACATAATGAGACAATTCAACCATTGCTTACTTCTGAATCTAAAGCATCGTAACTGAAAGATAAAAATTCACTTAAAAAAAGTTTTCAGTGCAGGAAGCCAGGTTAGCAATGATAGAGATTAAGTCCTACAATGGATCCTCAACAGTTTGTCAGATTTTCTAAGTTATTAGATGATTGTTAAAGTAAGCTAGTCTCAAGAACCTATCCAAAAAGTGATGAACGCGTGTTACGATAAGTGATCTTTCCTTAAGAATAGTCTCACTTATCTTTCCGAGTGTTGATGGTTTATATTATGTACAATCACCTGAAAGTTGACTTAATTTTTCTGTTATTTGTGCTAATACAGAAAGTGTCTATTTGTTAATGGCATTTTGCTTTATTAACTAGTCAGGTTTAATCACTGTCGAATATTCAAAACAATTGTCTTGCTGATTATGCAGAAACTATAACCACCCAATATTTCATTTTTAGGACGAACAAATTTTAATACAGACTTTTAGAAATAACTGTACTACTTAACGCCAGCAAAACTTAGGCTAAAGCGAGTGTCTAGTGATGTCACAAAAATTAGCGACGAAGACAAGCTAACAGAGTTTGAAATAATTGATCGTATAATCAATCACAATATGTGTGAGAAATGATGATATACTACTTTAAGCGGGAACCTATCAGGGTTCCTCCTGGTCAATTCTTTCTGACCTGTCGTTTTATCTTCCGTATGCAGTGAAGGCACCCATTGATAACGATATGCAGAAGGTTGTTGGAAATGCTTCTCATGACATGCCAAGTCTTTGAGCCATATAGCAGTAATGACCGAACATTGGTTTTGAAAATTCGAATTTTCTTGTTATACTGAGTGTAGCAGATTTCCAAACTGATTTCAGAATAATGAAGGTCTATCATGTCTTTCCGACTCTGATTTTGACATCTTCATCCCTTCCGCCTGTAGTTGAAACAATGATGCTTAGCCAGCTGAAGGAAAGAAGTGACCTCTTTCACACTTGTTCCGTTAATAGTGGTTGGTACTTCTTGTTGTTGGCTGCTTATCTTCGTCACCTCCGTCTTCTCTACATTTACTTGGAGTCCTGTCTCTGCTGCTTCTTCAACCAACTCCACTATTCAATAAGCTAAATTAATTTAGGTGACTGACAAAAATACGCTGAAACTGATTTGCACGTAATTTATGTCTGTATCACAGATTTTATACACTTCTAACAGCCTGCTAACGCTTTCTGCATTTATTTAAGTCGACTATGTAGGCCTGACTAATTTGCAGATTTGGTCGATAGTATAAGAGACGCTTTTAGTCGGTGGGGTTCGGAAGCAATGTATTTGAAGGGCTTATTTACAAACACTTTAAGTATAAATTCAGATATCAATTTCTACGTAAAAACCATACGAATAAACAATGTAAAATAACTCCATTTTGCAGAGTATATTTTAGCCTTTATCTGTATAATGTGTTCAAGTCTCTCCAAATTCAAATGGAATTACTGCGTTCATGGAGTTTTAAATTATCTTCTCTTGAAAAAGTTAACTAGTGCCTTGACAGTCACATTTGAAAAATAATGCTTATTAGTATCCATCAAAAGGTGTCTCGTTTGACAGAAGTCCAAGCAAAAGCTATCAAGCTATTATTGTGAAGCTTTTAGTACGTACTATCTACGTGAAAATACATCTGGTTCAGTGTGCATTTTAATTCCAACAGGCATACTTTGTGACTGTGGCTATAATCCTTAGAAAATGGTCACTTTATTCTGTTTTCTTAATATTCTAAATATATCTAACAGTTGAAAAATGAAACGTTTTGGTAAAAAGACTACGTAAATCAAAAAAAGGATCCACCATGTTAAACTTTGAATCTGAATGTTTTTCTTTCTTTTTTTCCAGCTAACCGTCTACATCCTTCTCAGTACTTTCTCATGGTTATTTTATGTGGTGGAAACCAGAAAGTTAGTTTGAACACACTATTTGTATGCATCTACCATATTAGTCACCGTCACATTCATTCTTGCGTTTACCCTTTTTTCATTTTAACTAATGTTGAAACCATATTAATTTGTTTATTGGATTTATCACACAGTGGAACAGTATTATTTACTGTATAGTGTCTCGAAAACAATTTATTATTCATAATCATATCAACTGTGAACAGTAAATTTTATTCGAAACTTCATCCAGTAAATGTATTCAATATATAAATAAATATGGAATTTTATACAACCACAGAGTCCAAGTTTCATGCATATAGTAACAGTATGGATAAGTTTCTAAGGAAAACAGAATGAACAGTCGTAAAATTGACGCACTCAAGCCTATGAACCCAGCGTCACTGATTAAAACAACAACAACAGCAACATCCAGCGCCAATCACCATCAACGGGAGGGATTTGAAAGAGGTTACTTCATTCACTTATCTAGGGAGCATTGTCTCAACTACAGGAGGAACGGACGAAGATGTCAAATCGAGAATCGGGAAGGCGAGAAACACCAACATCATCAACCTGAAACCAATCTGGAAATCTTCGTCACTCAGCCTGCATCAACAACAAAATTCGGATTTTCAATACAAACGTCAAGTCAGTTTTGCTATACGGATCAAAAACTTGGTGGGTCACAAAGAATATTTCCAACAGCCTGTTGCAGACCTTTATCAACAACTGTCTTCGTTCTATATTGAAGATCAGATGGCCGGAAAGAATCACCAACAAGAAACTATGGGAACAAACAACACAAGAACCAATCGCCCAACAAATATGCAGGAGAAAGTGGAGATGGATTGGACACTCGCTGAGGAGGCCACTGGGTGACATCGCGCGTCAGGCCAACGAACGAGTGGAACCCGAAAGGGAAGCGGCGAGTGGGACGTCCAAGGGTGACATGGAGGAGAACGTGTGAAGAGGAGTTCAAACAGTATGGACTAACATGGATGCAGGTGAAAAGTACAGCAGAAGACAGAAGCAAGTGGAGGCGTGCAGTTGAAGTCCTATGTTCCACTAGGAACACAAGGGAACAATAATAATAATAATAGGTTTGCTGTCGAGACGGACGAATTCTTTTTAGCTAGTCGGTGGTGCTTTCGACGTACAGAGTTTTAGACAATATGCAGATAAACCATTTGCTAATCAGCTATTAAAGCTCCTTATTTTCACGCTTCATATTAAATTTTCATGAAGAACTTAAGAAAAACTTAACTAGTCAGTGATTAGCATATGTTATTCACGGCAAACTTAATTAATAGTTTTCAGCATTTCTGTAACTGATATCAATCGGTGATCAAACGTGGAACAAAATCAAATCCCTACAAAAAAGTTCTTGAGAACCTAATTACATTTAAGTGGTAATAAATCGGTTTATTGAATTGTAAAGGGGCTTACAGTTATTATTGGACGAAACTAGCATCCTGAACTCTACTGCATGTCAACACCTAGTATATATTCTTGAATACTTCAAACCACGTTGTCAATACATTTTACTGATATAGATAACCATCTTGGTAGGTGGAAAATGTATGAATGCTGGTATAAATCCTTGGGGAAAGCTCAACGAATTACTAGATTAGCCTTTTTATGTTAGCTTATTTGTTACTTGAGTGGCTCAGTAAATATCTGGAGTGGATTTGGTTTCGGGAATAGTATTCAGTTATGTTTGCTGCAACGAACCGGCCAATCTGAAGATAGATGCAGAAGATAAGTTGAGATAGATATGTATAGAGGTTAGCTAGAGGCGAATTAGCGACAGAAGTCATATCAGCTACAGCAGTTACCAAGGCGCTCTCTTCAAAATCCCAGAACGCCACTGCAGACAAAGAGAGCACAAATTTCTTCGTAAATATGGTTAAATTATTCCAAACAATATTATGAATTAGTATCAACCTCTGAATCTTAACCTCGTTTCTAAAGCTTTATCCCCTTGTAATTGAACCTGACAGATTTTACTTCTAGTCTCATATAAATTTCAGTAAACTAAAGGTAATCTATGTACAGAAGACATGATTTATGCTTTGAAAGCAGACGCTAGATGGGATCATTCTTAAATCATCATTTCTCCAGTTTCCACGAAAACGATGGTCATTTCAAACTATGACTCTATTCTTCTATTTATCTTTGTTTCATAATGTGTGTGAAAATGAGTAGAAATTCTAAAATTGAAAATGCTATGACAAAGCAACATGTTAACAATGAGTTATCAACCTACAACATCAAAATTAACACTTCCGTTTACTTTTTACATTATGAAATTTAAAAAGCAAACTATTTAGTTTTTGTTTTAATAACAGCCATTCTCTACCATCATCCGTTTCCGTGTGGGCCTGGAAAGTTCATCCTAGATCACACTCTAGTAGACTTTTCAGTCGTTATATTGCATTATAAATCAGACATATTATACGGAATTATTAACCGTATACATTCAAAAAACTCACTCTAAAATTAAAACATTTACTTGGAGACAGTAATTGGAGGTAAAGTTTAACATGTTTCTGGAATTAGATGGCTTTTACTAGTGATTTGTTTACTTTGAATCCAACTGTGTTATCCTTTTGTTTTAGTAAAATTTGAAAAAACTAATGAAAGAAACACTTCCATTTTTAGTAACCCTCCAGTGAGTATTCGTGGTATCTGTCATACAATACGCTCGAAAATTCTTAGTTGGATGAATTTCGGCATCAATTTATTCTGTTTGGGTTATTACATTTTAAAGGTAAATAAGAGAAAGTAAATTAAAATTTGAGAATTATGACAACTAACTATTTTATGCATATTTGTGTGATAAATGTCGGGAACTAGTTTCACAAAAATAGTAAAAGTTAGTGGTTGGAAGTCGATTACTCAGGATAGGATTTTTCATTCACCAAATCATGCGCCATACTCATTGAAAGAAAGCTGCTGACACTACCAGTTACCTTGGCTCGAGCATGTAGAGAGGGATCCGAACACAGGAACTACTATCTGGCTAAACCAGCGAGTCACACCTCTGCATAGTAAAAGTTATTTCACAGAAATACAAACTTAAAAGTTTCATAAATTACAATGCATTCAAATGTAGTTTGAAATTGTTGAGAATGAAAGTGGGAATAAAACATTCATTCAGCATTCTAGTAAAATATTTGGAACTAGGCAATAATTTGAAGTTATTCTATTTACTAACTGAATATAAACAGATTTCACTCCCAGTTCATTCACGTCTATTGGAGTGAACAGATTAAGTGTGAACAGATCATAAGCTGAGTGAAATGACAGTTTGGTGTAATACTGATATAAGGATAAAATTTGGGCACTGTGGTGGAGTATAATTCCATCATGTTATACTGTGCTATTCTATAACTTGGTGTTTTATTTTGGCAAACAGTCAGTAGGAAACTCTACTCTGTTTGAGCTTCAGAACTTTTATTAATCAACTTCTGCAAAAGATGCTTCGCAATCTGAATAGGCTTGTGCCATTCACTAAGTCAATTAAATCTTATTTTGAATCTCAGAGAACATGATTTCTTTTAAAGTTGTTGATAAGATGTGCTAATGCGTGCTAACAAACACAAAGTCTATTCTTACAGCAAACCGTGAAACCATTTAATACAACCTCATTCACCAATCTGAAGAGCTTAATAAGACACATTATTCATAGAAAATAATCCTGAATTACATTCATTGTCTTAGGTATAAATATGAGCATAACGTGTTACTGAAATGTGTTCCTGTAGTGTGATAAGTTTTTATTTCTCTTTGTTCTTTTTTCTAAAAATTTATAATCCAGCTGTGTGCAGCAACCGACAGAATTCGTTTCGTCCTTAGCTTTTCTTCGCTAATTGATATAGTTGCAATTCCTCCGGCTTTATGTAGTGTGTTCGAAACACATCGCCATATCGGTAAGTTGATGTATTTTTGCAATTGTGACTCCTGTTAAATATCCCTGCTTTCAAGACTAACAGTAGGGACTATTCATGTAAACCCTGCTGACGAAGAAATTGTCTTGGATACCATCTGGTCAGCAGACAAATATTGATGTAACGAATGAAGTCAAAAAATTTAATTTTGGGTGGCGACACAGTGTGAACCAGCGGCCTCTGTATTGCCAGTCAGGTGGTCTAACATTTGAGCTTTGAGATTTATCTACTAACCAGGTCACTATTTGACTGCAGTCATCATGGGTAGTGGTCGGTTATCATAAGTGTAACATAAATATCTATTTATATCCTTACTAGCTTTCAGGCTGGGTTTAATTCCTGTAATTCCTAACCATAATGAATCATAAAGAGAGGGAGAATCCCTGTAAATTATCCGTTTTATTTCCGTCTAATGATTAACATAATAACAAGTCACCTAATTCATTTCTACTTATAAGTCAGAAAGGTCATTATTGAAGACAGTGGTCTGACTCAAACAGGTCCCGTTGTCTTATAATCTGTTTTAGATTCTCTAAACCCTAGAGGTTTAACAACTGTACAGTGACAGCATTAGGTGGTACAGTACAACAACTGCTCGAAGTCTGTCTACGTATTAGTTCCTGTCATGTTGGATGAGAGCATTGCCAACTCTTTGTTTAGTCAACAAAACCAATAGACTGAAGCAGTAGATTACTTGAGGTTACTTTACAAGCTGGTTAGTTCCAGAGTTAATAAAATGAACAAAGCAAAACGAGATTATCCGAAAATTCGGAAGTTATTCAATATCTGTCAAAATTGCATGTGATATCACATGTCTGAGAAGTAACCAGTTCAGTACAACGGATGATTTCAGCAAAGTGCCAATCAGAAGTATATTGGTTATTAATTAGACCGGATGTTTGTGGTATGATTAATGAAAGTAGCATCAAGGTATATACATGACAGTTAACTTGTCCAATTCAGTTGATTCATTGAACTGAATAATGGAAATGATCTACTAACTTACCAAAGACATTGAATTATCTATGTTATGCTATCTGATTAATCTTTTGCACTTTGTGAGAAAAATGAATAATCCATCTATCTGTGGTTATTGTTTAGTTGAAATACTGTTGGAATAAATTATTTAGAATTTTCAATTGCATACTTACAGCATAACGCCATTCTTTTGTAAGTATATTAAACCTACGACTCACGTATAAGGAGCATCCATCCAAACATTCGATTTAAATGATGATCACGAAAGTTGTTTTGATGTCAATGTTATGACTCATATCAGTCATGTGTTTTGCTACAGACCATGTTATGAGTACATAATAATAATATCTTTAAAATGTGTTGGATATATAGTCATAAAATATATCAACAGTCTTAATTAAAGGAACATTAATAAACAAAGAGTAAACACCAAAAGAATACATTTTCTTGCTTTTTATATTGATGTCAACAGGTTCGAAAGTATCTTTCCAAGAGAACTTACATAATTCACTGCGTATGTCTGTGAAAACGACACATTGATAGAATATGAAGTAATAGATTGTTTATTTTATAAGTTTATGTGACTCGTAGAAGTTGGGAACGTCAGACACCATGGGTTTGAAAAAACCGAAATCTTAATCAGTAATATCCATACTACGAGGTCTTATAAGATGAAATGTTTTCTTTTCATTTTTCCGTTGTCATCAGATAATATATCTGATATAAATTTGCTTTTATCATCAAGAATACACAGGGTTTTTGTTATATAGTCACTTCATCCATTAAAACTGCAACCAATCCCTTATCTGGTTTCAGTACAATTATGTAGGATCTACGAAGTAGTTCCTTTTGGGCTTTGAAATGCTTCAGAGTCAAAATGTTTTTGTTTCTCAACTGATTTACGGAACTGATGCGCTGTATCAACAAGTTTAGCAATCAACCAGCTTAGGTTCGAAGTAGGAAATAGAGAACTCAATTGGTCATAGAGGGTTTTACCCTGGGAATCAATGGATAAATCAGAAATACTAGTTGATGGGATAGAAAAGATGAATCTAAGTGAGGTTGACTCTTTCTCATGTTATGAAAGTTTAGTGGTTAGCAAATTTGTCACATACTTATCAGGATTTACTGAAAATGAGTTTAACTGATGGTCATCAGTAGATGATATGATCGGTTTTTATCTAGTATTTTCTCTAGTTTCATTAACGACAGAGCTGCGAGAATTGATGGACTGGATTCATCGAGTTACAGAAGCATCAAACAATACATTTGAAGATACTATATAAAATAGCAGAACATAGCCGAATGGCTTGAAAACAGTTGAACTATGAGATACCGAAAAACGCTAGTGGCACACTACCAATTTCCTATATAGCAAAACACATAACTGATATGACATGTGCATTCAACTGACAATATCGTTTTATTTAATGTCGTGAATGACTGCACATGTATGCATTCAGCTGACAGTTTTAACGAACACACTATTATTCCCCAATAAAGTTTCTGATTTAATTTTTATTTGCCTATACTGGCTATTTGGATTCTACTATTCGTGGATTTATAGCTTTAGAGTGTGAAGAAGAAGTTATTGAAAACAGTTGTTCGCTAAGAAAATTTTCTTGTTCTAATTGTGTAATGCGGATATTTAAATTACTGATATCCGTATTTGCTAAACAATTGTCTAATTTGAAAACACTGTCGTTTTATGGTCTTCTGTTAACTGATAGGAGGTAACTTGACTGTATGTGGTGAATAACTGTCAATAAAACTTAAATCATTGTAGTTTAGTAGCAGTTTGTTCAGGATGAATACAGCACAACTTACCTTTGACAGTGAACTTTTGTAGTGAACATGGAAAATCTGTAGATCTAGAATGAAAACTATGCGAGAAATGGAGTAGAATGAAATTTGTGAGTAACTAGTTGCTAAGTTAGTCTTAATGCCACACACTTGTTGAATATTTTAGATGGTGATTTTACTTCAAGACAAACTGTTTCTAACCAGATAATATTGTTCGCTGCACTTCGAAGTAGTCAGTAGAATTGTGTGTACTCGTTCTGTACACATAATGAAAAACGCTTTTATTTTATGAAAACTGCAATTTTAAGCATACTGTCGGTGAATAAAGTCAATGATGCATGTCCGTGGACACGCAAGCCACAATGTCTGGTCACTGAAATGTCTTCACTCCACGCTTAATAGTATAGAAGCAAGTATTTTCCCACTTGTAAGGTATAACCATCAAAATAATACATATGATATTGGTATTTCGCTGGAACTTTTATAAAGCAAACGGAAGGATCAGAACTAATAGTAAAGGTTCATTGTGAAGGGGTTAATTTCAGTATTGGAAAAGTAGTTTGAGAATTACTTCTCCATCATATCCTGAAAGTGGTAAAATTTAAAAATAAATAGCACGTCAGTTCCATATGTTTCATTCTTATTAATTACAAAATTAGAAAATATTAAGCATATTCCAGCAAATCTTCATACTCTCAAATCAAAGTTGACTGTGGTCTTAAATTTGAACGGTCTTGGTTCTACAAGAAGTTTATGTTTTTCGATCAAGAACTTGATACTGTAGAGCATTACATTTTTCCGTTTGTTCATAAGTAACATGATGAGATAGTTCCTCTGAGTATTATGTCTTTTATGTTTCATTTCTAGACCTAAATTTTCTACGTTCAATGTGCTTCTTATATTACGTTGATATACTTACTTATATGGGTGTAATAACGTCGAATCAAGGCATTCAGTCGGCTCGTATCATGTTCACTCTGTTCACTATATGGATGGTCGGAAGTGGAATAATGCATGTGGTTAGTTGCATTTTTGAGAATAAATTATTTCTTACAGTTTAACTATAAAATACCACAAAGAACAAAATCTCTTATATCATTCTAGCTATACGTCACCAACTACAGGACATTAAAAGTAAGATTTCCCTTTAGTTACATGGGAAATTATAATATTCCTGGAATTCGAAAGGGTACCTTTCCTCATATCACTCAACTATTCAACTTGCATGGATAAGCGAATTCATTCTCTTTCACTTATAAGAGTGTTTGTAAATTTGTGGCCTCTCTGTCTTTTTACTATTTCTACGCATTAGTGAAATTCACTCGGAAGTGAATAAGTTGTTATTGTGCTCAACATCAAGGAAGTTATACTTTTAAGAGTGCCCGTGATAATCACTGAATTCTTTTCAAACAGTGAAAATATAAAACTGTGTTGTAGAAATAACTCTATGGAGGACTGTAGCTTCCATCTGTCCAAAACTCTTTAACTTATTTATTCAGAGTAGAATGACTTGGTAAATATTGTCATCGACTTTTATGTTATATATACAAATAAGTTGCGAAAACAACCTTGTCCATATAAAAGACCAGATCCCTAAAGATTCTCTATCTGTGTCTATAAAATAAAATGCTTGGAATGTGATGCGATATACATCGGACAAACATCTCGAGAAATCAAAATCAGAAGAAATGAACACATTAGAGCATCTCTTCGACCACCGAGAAATCCAGTTGAACTACAAAGACTTGAAAAATCATCAGCCACAGGTCTACATGCTATAGAATCAGGTCACAAAATTGATTTTGATAATATTGAAATAATCCAGAAAAGCTTCAGAAATCACAGAGAACGTCTAACATCAGAAGCACTTCATATCAAGTAGAATCCAAATTTAAACAAAGCAACAACTACAGATTTTGCAGAATAAAATGGTACCATATTTTATTTCGTCGCCTTCTCTTCAGCTGCTTACAGGGGAAAAACATTATTAAATGTATCTACAATAACAATTTATCATACTTACACAGAGTTCATTTTAAACAGAAATCAATCGATCGATATACACATACACTAATAATATATACATATATGTATATATATGCAATCTTGAACACAATTCCGAGCATTAATAATCATACAAAATGAAAACTTTTTAGTATCTCGCATTACGATGAAAAATATCCAGTTACCAGGGCAAAGAAAGACTGATAACTGCTTCTTTCTGAACGCACAGATCAGGTTTTAGGCGCTTGATGGAAAAGGCTTCGGCAAACTTAAGGAGCATTGAACTCTTTTGCTTATTGATAATTTTGAATGACTTTTCCACGTCCACCTCATGACCCGTGTCAAGAAGATGCCTGGCGATGGCACTGCTTAAAGCATTTGTTCCTTTTACACGTAAGCTTTTTGGTACATGTTCAGAAAATCGTAGATATGCTCTTCTTTCTGTTCTTCCAATGTAACTGCTCCCGCAGATACATGTAAATTTGTATATACAGTTGGAGTTAACATGAGAAGGATATCTATCGATTTTTGATTGCACCAGAGAGCAAGTTGTTCGAAAGACGGGAACGAGCTTAGCTGCAGGATAGGCTATGGCTAGTGATGTACTCAGCCTTCTGTTGATCATCGCTGCAATGTTTTCGCCTTTATAATCAAGCTCAAAGTAGATTGGCTTTTTTCTTACTGTGATTAGTTTTTCATTTGCGACTGCAGATCTTCCATACTTATTGATAAACCTTTGAGGGTACCCATTGCTCTTCAAAGTCTTTTCAAGAAACTCAAATTCTTCCTCTAGTTTCTCTGTAGAGCATATTCCTCTTGCTCTGTAGTACAAAGTCTTGACCAGTGCTCGTTTATAGCTATTTGGACAAAAGCTATTAAAATTTAAGTATTGTCCTTTCCATGTGGACTTACGATAAATTGACTTTTGAAGACTACCGTCTTCTAGGCGTTCCATGGCGATGTCGAGGAAGTGGAACTTCCCGTCACTTTCATGTTCCACAGTGAACTTGATATTGGCGTGTGCATCATTGAATAATCTTAGTAGGTGTGAAGCATGACTATCATTTTTGCACACTATAAATGTGTCGTCAACGTAACGACAGTAGGAAGTTGTTTCATCGATTGCATGCTTCAACTTTGTTTTCTCAAGATTTGACATGAAGATATCTGCTAGAACAGGGCTAAGTGGACTGCCCATAGCTACACCATCTATTTGTCGGTAAAGAGTGTTATTAAACTGGAATTGTACATCCATGGTACACATTAGCAGTAGGCGTTTGAATTCTGACTCTGGTAGTGGAAGCAGATCAGACTGTTGACAAATGATTTCAATGGTTTCATTGATTGGGATCATTGTGAACAAGGATGTTGCATCAAATGAGACCATGAACTTATTTGAAACGTTCATATGATTCACGCTTTCGGCGAAATGAAATGAGTCCAAATTGCCTGAATAGGAATGATGGACTAAAACAGAATCTGACTTGGCTACAACACCTCCCTCCCCCATGAAGTGTCAAAATCAACACGAATGTGATATGCAAGTTCACTATGTAAACACACACTGCCTTTATAATTTTAAACACTGATCAAATCCAACAATCTACACTTGGTTTTGTTATCTTTACCAATTGACCAACTTGACAACGAAAAATGACTCCAGACTAACGAACGATGATCAAATTAGTAAACTTTGTTTTGATACCATAACAGATGTACTATTACCTTTGTAATTTGGTTTAGTGATCTTCATTGTTATTTTGACTTTCAATATGTCCTTTTAACTTGACCTAAGTCTATTTTCTCACCCCTTAACTCTTTGTTATATATATGCTGAGATTTTGTAAATTCCGGTTTAATAATACTTTGATAAAGCTGGTAGCATTAAATAGCGAAGTCAGTAAAAACAATATCTTTTTGTTTTTCATTCACTGGGGAAATACAAAAACCTTTATAATGAATATCATATACCCAATGCCCAAATTTTTTCAAACTGTTAAAAGTGAACTTGGTTTGGACATATATAATCAAATTCTCATTAATAAACTTGAACAAAGCAAGAACAACAATTGTACCAGGATAATATGAGCTCATTTTTTATTATTTCGAGGATTCTTCTCAACTGGTTACAACCTGAACGATGAAAAATATGAATTACATTACATTAAAGATTTCAACATAGTTTTCCACGATCACAAGGAGTAATTGGTAGGAAGTAAAAGTAGCATTAGTCCGGAATGATTTAACTAATTAAGAGTTACAAACACTGACTATTTTTAGAATAATTCAAATGAACTGTGATCAATATTTGACAGGTTGTAAATATTAATAGAATAATTAGGCAATTAGGCTTAGAAACAAAAACAAGCTGTTGTATATATATATATTTTTTTTTGTCACCAAGGCAGTGCAAGATTCACCACCGTCTCTTTCTGCGTACATAGATTTGGTTTCAGTCGTCTGATAGCAATTGCTTCAGCAAAGCGTAGCAAGTTAGGTTTCTTTTGCTTGTTGATTATTTTGAATGACTTCAATTTGTCTACATTATGACCAGTGTCTAATAGATGACGCGCAATTGCACTGTTTAATACTTGTGGACCTTTCAGTCTCAGGTTCTTTGGTATGTGTTCAGAAATGCGGACAATAACCCTTCTCTCTGTTCTTCCGATGTAGGTGCTTTGGCACGTACATGTAAATTGGTAGACACAGTTGGAGGTAACATGAGGTGGGTATTTGTCCACTTTTGATTGTCTCAAACAACTAGTTGTTTGATAAACACATACAAGCTTGGCGGCTGGATATGTTCTTTTCAGGGCAGCGTTTAGTCTGCATCTTATTCTACTGGCAATATCATCACCTTTGAATGCAAGCTGCAGAAAGATAGGCTTTTTCTCTACTGTGCTGATTTTCACTTTTTCAACATGACGTCTCCCATACTTGTCAATGAACTTTTGTGGGTAACCGTTGTCGCGTAGGCATTTCTCCACAATGGATAGCTCTTCCTCAATCTTTTCTTCTGAACACAGCTTCCTTACACGATCAAATAATGTTCTCACCAATCCTTTTTTGTAACTTATAGGGCAGAAACTTTTGAAGTTAAGATAAACCGCCCTCCAGGTCTCCTTTCTGTGTATATATCTTATGATTTTGCCGTCTATATCTCGTTGGATACCTAGGTCAATTCTCATTAATTGGAACATAAAAAATTTAGTTAGCTTTGACTTTTCGAGTTACTTTCCACTATCAACATGCCATGGTGGTAGAATGCGTCATGCAACGTCAATTGTGGTACGACACTGTTAAAATCCACGAAACTAGAATACTGTTCATCTAAAAAATTACTAATTTCCCAGTTGTCTATGCAGACGAATACACTTAGTAAAGATGGGGAATAATACCAAACTAAACTTTCTTTGGTAAACTTTGTTTTGATACCATAGCAGATGTACTATTACCTCTGCTATTTGGTTTAGTGATCTTCATTGTTATTTTGACTTTCAATATGTCCTTTTAACTTGACCTAAGTCTATTTTCTCACCTCTTACCTCTTTATTAATTTCATATATATTCCTATGACAAGTCCGTGTGTGATCAGATTGTTCGAAATGTGTTGCTCAAATACATTACACGATTCAGACAAATTACGTCTTCTTATTGCTTTATCTAAACTTAGTGTTTGTTTCGTGTTCCTATGGATTTGTTGGCTACATATAGTCCGTTGAGATTCCGTCTGAAATCAACTTTTCCGATAATACGCTATCTTAAAACTTTACAAGCGCCTTTTGGTTTCACGCGGTACACATTGGAGAATCACAGCGTTTGGATACCTTGGGAAACAGAATGGAGAAGATTTGTAGCTCACGTGGATGATTTTGATTTAGTTGTGTTCTCTGAGCTGGTTGATTTGATTGAAGGGCCTTCGTTGTTCATCCAGACAACATCTTCAGCGCAGTTTTCAGTATGAAACGAACTTATTTGAATTTTCTATGAATGACATAATTGCGTCTCATGACAACCACTGTTGTGATTAGTTGTTAATTTACGTCTGTATTAATCATGTACATTGACTTGGAATTCGAACTTTCGTGTGAAGTGATTTATTTTTGAATACAGCAAGAACAACAGTTTTGCAGAATAAAATGGTGCTACCATTTATTTCATTGGCTTCTCATCAGCTGTCTACAACTCAAACCACAATTAACATACACAGAAAGTTCAAGTTTAGACAAAAAATCAATGCATTTACACAATGGTAATAATAATCATCACTTTATTCCAAACAATAATAATCATACAGAATAAAATTTTCAGCGTTGTCTAATCTCCTTGGTACGGATCATAATGTGAACATCGCAAAATCATTCAAAACTATCAATAGGCAAAAGAGTTTGATTCTTCTCAAGTTTGTTGAAGTGAAATCCATCAAGCACCTGAAACCTGCTTTATGTGTTCAGGAAGAAGTGGTTATGAGTCTTTCCTTGCCCTGGTAACTGGATGTTTTCATTTTCTGTTTCGTTTGACTACGTAACGCTGATTATTATTATTACCATTGTGTGCGTGCAGTGATTTTTTGTTTAGAATTGAACTTTCTGTGTATGTTAAAATTGTTTCTGTGCATAAATTTGATAATGTTTTTGAGCTATAAACAGCTGATGAGAAGCCAATGAAATAAGTGGTGGTACCATTTATACTCTGTACAAAATGTTGTTCTTACTTCATTCAGATTTATTTTTTATTCCCAGGTAAATTTTTTTTGTGTAGTTATATGTTGTAAGATTCATCTGGGTAACAGACTTTTAGAAATTCACTTTAATTTACGTACGCACCACTGGGGTCAAACCGAATTCATATCAGAGTGATACCGCCAAGGAATTATTGATATTGTTCGTCTCCAGCCAAAAATTATATTCTATAAATAATTACACATAATGAGCAGCATTAACTGCGTCTTTTCAAGTGGTTTTCTACTAATGATAATTAATTGTGAAAAAAACTGAGTCTGGATTAATCTAGTTCTTTAGCCTATTCATGGTACTTAAGACATACTGTTTATGGCTGCCTAATGCCTTCTCTGTTGAAGCCCTGAGCTTTATCAGCTACCATTACCGAAGTTTGAATATACTTATTTGTAGTATTTTTTAAAAATTATATTGTTTATTTCATGTAAATTAATTAAATTTTAATTGTTATTTTATTAAAAACAGAATTTATTTTATTTTATTGGCTGTATCTAATTTCGGATTAACCATGACAGATTGAGCATCTGGGAGATTTTTGGCAAAATGATAATCATCGTGGTTCATGGAGTTACTTCGAGGCATGTTATTTCCTCTTAGTAACACTATCTACCGTTGGGTATGGTGATTATGTAACGCAGACAACATTGGGGAAATTATTTATTTGTATATTTATACCAGTTGCAATGGTTAGTTTAGTACTTTAGTATATTTGCCTTTACAGTCAGTATGCACAAAGTGTTCAAAATAAATTTAACATTTAGATTACTGAGTTTTCAGGAAAAATATCCTCTAAGATATTAATGTGGTGAAATCGATATTGAAGCAAAGAACCTATTCCAAATGCATAATTTTCTACCAAAAAAGATCATGGTTTTATCAGCCGTAGAAGCACCGTTTCTTTTTAAAACACTTTCTGTTTTTTATTACTGTCAGTTTAAGTAGTGCTGTAAAATGATTTTAATGTATCTCTAGTGAGAAAAAAGTATCACCCACTAAGCCACCGAAAAACTAGCAGAACTGCTTTTCAATTTCTTGCACCTCTTCAACAAGGCTACTCAGTGACCTGCCAAGACATCATGCCTCAAATTATCAGTTCATAAGATGAAAACATTTCTGTCCATTGATACCAAGTAATTCCTACTGTATTGCTTAGGTATCATCGCCACCCGTATATCCTATTTGGGTCACAACTCTGTATTTCTTCAAAAAATTCATCTCAAAGCTAGTTGTTAATGAGCAAATGACGAAAATGTCACTAGGATCAATCATTTCCTATAAACAATCCAAGTAATCTCTTATACAGATAAGCTATTTAGAACGATAAGTGATTTCAGAAACTGGAGTGGAATAATGTCAGGAATGATGACAAAGAAACATAAAAACTAAGAAATTTCATAGAAATTGTTAATTCAGAGTTTTATTTTGCTGAGAAAAGTACCAAAGTACTATTTAATTATCTATCACCATTTTTTATCTTTATTTTCATTATTTGTCTCCTGTGCTTTGAGATTTCTGTAGCGACTGGATTGATCTTCCGGGGTTGGGTCGCTAGCTCCACGCCAAACCTTCCCACTTTTTCTGCGCTTAGGGCCGACTAGTAAACTAAAGAAATAATAAACTAGACGAGGTTTAAGTATGATTCTGCATTAAATATACTAATTGGTGGCTTGGTTTTCACTTTTGCTCATTTTAGCATAAGTCAAATTATGTAAGACAATACCTCGAAGTAATATCTAGTCAAAATCAAATATGTAAAAGTGTATGCAACTCGATCAGTTTTCAAATAAAAGTAGATAGTCAAATCCTCCTTCTTCTGAGACATAGTTACAGCTATTTGTAAAATAGTGGGAGAACTCTTACATCAAATATCTCAAACTTCAAATGACGGAAAATATAGAGTAACTGTAAGCTAAACAAGGAGAAATAAAGTGATCATGTATCATAACTGTATGGGTCGCAGTTAGGCATAACCCTAAAGATCATAAGCATAAAGTACAATTTTCTTTCCCGTGTATTTTATATGACAGTGATCAAATGTGACTACTTAAACAGACTACTGATTATTTGAAGATAACAATTTCAGTGTAAAGTGTTGTCAAAATCAGTATGTCTTAACTGTTGATGTTCACTTGAGTACGAGAGAACTGATGTATTTCTCTGTAGTAATCCTGCTTTAAAGAAAGGTAGACATGTGTTCTAGTGACAGACTAATATGTAATTTTTTCCTACTGAACACTCGCATTCTGAAAAATATCCCGTATATCAGGTCTAGTGTTCTTAAAATGATAATCTTGAAGGTCACTTTCTTTTCCCGTACACTGTATGTTTATGCGAGTGAAAGCCGTAGCTTACTTTTGAATTTCATCGCATCACTGGATAAAAATAATTCAACTTTTGTTAGTGGTTAATATCTGCATCTATTTGTAATAATGAATCTACAATTCAATACCTGAAAGGTTATAATTGTCACAGTTCATTATTTTATACATAGTAATAATAGTAATTGTGTGCTATTACTGGATTCATTAGGGTGTGTCAGATTATTACGGACATTCAATTATTTCCAAAGTGAGACCTTTGGAGTAGTATTGTTCCACAATGTGATATATCCAAGAAACGAATTAATATGGAATCTGTGACGTCAACAATTTATAAAGACAGCCTTAATGAATACATGAATATGATGAATATATATATATATATCATATAGTAAACAAATACATTATCTTCTAAGTGTTTTATAACTCTTTGAAGATTCAGAAAACATAATTTGAACTGATGAGGCTTTTTGATAAACATCTGTTACTTATCTGGTTAACTGTTCTCATGGGAAAAAAGTTTCTACAAGTGGGTATGATTTAAGTTCGGATATGGTAAAGTACAAAAACCATCTTCAGTTCACCACTGGAAAGTGTTAACAGTGACTTCATGATTTCATTTAATTGTCTAACTAGTGATCTGATGCATTTTTTCACTGCCATAAGTGACAAAATGACTGTTTGAAGTGTATGCGATTCATGCACTTCACTCACTTAAAAAGTAAATATATGATTTTTAACCATCATCATAATGAGGATGCGTACATTTGAAAAAGGCAAGAGAGAGTTAAAAACAATTCAAATGTTAAAAAAAGTGGCGATTAACTCTATCGCATTTTGATTGAAATATGACCTGTCTGGTTTATTGAAAGTCAATCTAATTTTAATGTAAAGAATAATTTTGTTAAATAACAAAAAGTCAGTCGTTAACATCATTGAAATTAGCAAAACTAGAAAAGCGTATTATAGCAAAACAGCTAAGTCTAGACGACATTTCAGTGCATTATAAGGATAAATAGTAATAATAATGAATGTCATTATTATTATTATTATAATAAAAACATTTACATTTTAACTATTGTAATACAGTAAATACTGTAATTTTATGGTATCAGAAGGTGTCTCTTAAAACTGAAATCTCTATTAAGAAACTTTCTCTATATTTCCCGTTAATTTTAAGTTAGTTAAGACATGATTAAGTTCAAAATTAATAACAGATAAATGTTAGACTGGTAGAACTGTTCTCATGAGGACAAGAGTCTGCCCCACCCGTGTCCAACACATACTATGATCTGTTTTACCCATTACTGACAGACTGACTATGATATGGTGTTAAACGTAAGAACTGAATTAATTTACTCTTAATATTCCAAATCAAAATACGGTGAATAATAATCTTGTTTCACTTAAACAGTTGATGCACTTCAATAATCACCTACCTAAGAGTACAGAATTCACTGTTCGGTTTTTTTCCCAGCAGTGTATTTCAACAAATTCTGATTAACACTGATTCCCCGGAACTTGTTTTATTTAACTAGACTAAATGGATGAAATTCAAATTGGGCACAAGTCGCACTGTTTTCTTAGATATTTCTCACACTTTGGCACGGTCAAATATACTCAGTTCACTGTCCCATTATTCACATCACTTGGATTTGTGAACAGACCTTCGTTATGTTATTTAGAAGTAGACCACGTTATGTTGGAATCTGTCGTCTAGTTAAAGATGTGGAGGTACATTTAATTAAACTGTTCCTATCTCGCTGGTATAACTTTGCTGATAGACTGGGTTTCGAAGGTGTAAACAGTCTGTTCTATATATCAACCTAATTTTTTGATAATCATTCCTTCTACGTACAAATATACTGTTGTAAGATAGAAGACTGTTCACAATTCCAGTCCGCACTTACATTTTTATTGTGTATATAAACTTATTATCTTCCACTTATTCAGTAAGTCAGAGATTATAAACAATTATGAATTTTCAATAAATTGTTCTTCAGGCTCTACAATTATAAATCCATTAATTAATTTAAGCATACAATAGCCAGTAATGGCAAACTAGAATCATATTAGACATATTTTGTGGAACAAGTATAAGTTGGGATGGGACAATAGTTAGTTTTCAATATGCATCGTCAATGAGAACATGAGATAAAACGAGATGAAATAATTTAATGATGTGTGTGTATATACATAAATATAGTCAACAAAAATACAGTTTTCGAGAGTGAGTATATTCAGGATGTGTCAGACAATATGAATACTACAGAAAGTAAACCAACGAATGGGGTGGACTAGACATAAGTTCATGTTCTCATTGACGATGCATATTGAAAACTAACTGACTATTATCCCATCCCAACTTATACTTGTTCCACAATACACTTTCTGATATGATTCTAATTTGCCTTTACTGGCTAATGTATGCTTAAATTAATGGATTTATAATTGTAGAGCCTGAAGAAGAATTTATTGAAAACAATCGCTCGTTCTAACTATTTTGTTCTGAATAAATTATGGGAATATTCCAGTTATGAATTTCTCAAAAAATAGTTGTATAAACGCACACATTGCAAGAGAGTGGTAATTTGAATTCTTCACTTCTGAAGAAGTATTACATAGGTTCAACTTGAGTTAGTTTTGGAACAAAGGAGCTGATGACAATCAAATACTAGGTAGAAGTAACATACCAACCCCACTGGTAATTACACCTCTTTATATATATATATATATATATATATATATATATATATATGAGTGTCATGGGCATTGTACATCGCCAAGTTTTATTTGTGATTACAGGGTGTTTCTGCAAGTTTCGTGCCAGAACTATTCCGTAATTTCAATAACAATTATGCCAACTCATCCGACCGATATGAACCAATTTCCGGTGAACGGTAAGTCAATGAAAAATACCTATTTCACTGTGAGCTTAATGATAATAGTAGATGTTTTTCGAACTTAAATGTAATTTGAATATTAAAAGTCTGACCATGAGACATCCTAGTCTAGTATACATACCAGGTACAAAATCCAACTGTCAGTTAAGTTCAAAGGCTAATCCTATCACCTGCTTATTTTCTCATTTATCATTTTATTAAAGAATAAATGAGAGTGGAAATAAACTTTTTGAAATAATGTTATTTGATTCCAGATTCTATCTTAGAATATTGTTAAAAATGGAGTGCTATTTGTTTGAAATCATTCAGTATTACGATCTTTTGACTAGTAAATGATTTCATTTATGCTTTCAAAACAGCTTTTATTTTAATAAGATTTGGATCTTGATGCGAAAACAACAGAACAACTAACAAGACCAGGGGGCATTTTTGTATTGTGCACAACTCTGTGTGGTTTGAGTTAAACTAGGACCAGATCAGTCGAAATTTTACAGAGCTAGTAATTTGGAAGCTTCTGTTACAATTCCTGAAGTAGTATGAATTTCTAAAACACCATCAGTTATTATCTTACCACGAAAACGTTAGCCAATCAGTCTAAAATCATTTCAAATGGTTTCAGTTATTCATGTTAATAAAAATATTGAAAAGTTTACAAATATGGCTAACCGAATGTGATAATGAATATGAAAATTCGACAAATTATAGATTTCTATACATTTTCACTTCCATGCCTCATCAATTCTCATTAGTGTTCATTCATAATAACGTCGGTATATATATCCTTCAGCCTGAAAATATGCACTGATGAGGCACAAAATAGGAGGAAACACCTCATCGGTATTCTGTGATTTGTAACCCCATTCCAAACAAATTTGGCTCTGGACTAAACCAATCAAAATTTCCATAAATCCAACGACTGACTCATTTTGAAACTAACTAGTTATTAGTAAAAGGTATAGTTAACTAGGCAAAGAATACTCTTTTACTTGAACAAAGCATCCCCTCGGTCTCATAATACATGCGATAACTGACCATTCACTGGGGAGTAACCAATGTCATTCGTTAGTTAGACTAGCATTGTGGTCAGCAAGCTATAGTGAATAGCTCAATGGTAACGTTTCTGGCTTTAGCACCGGATAACGTGGGTTAGAATTTCAGAGGGGTTGCAGATGTACCTCGCTGACAAATATCAACAAGCATGAGGTGTACGTCTATGGCTTCTTGCCACACGCCTCCACCCATCATCACCTTCCGTCTGGCTTAGTTACATTCTACGTTGCAGCGTAAATAACAGTGTTTATGTTCTTACTGTTGTGAAGCCTGTTAATTTTCAGTAGTATTATTGCTCATTTTTCGTCTTCATTATTTCTTTTCCTTATAGACATGTCATCGTTTGTGGAAATTTTGACAATGATAGTATAAGAGCTTTTATCAAAGGTTTTCTTTATGGATGCCAGGCCAAAGGACGTGTAAGAATAAACATGGTACTTTTAAGACCGTAAGTTGTGGCATTTATTGGTTTTGAATTTTGAGTTGGAAGGTAATCGCAGTTGTGAAGATTTTCTATTAACTAAGCAATACTCAAAAGTAAATGCAATTTTAAAATAATTTAAAGACTAACCTGAAGTATTTCAGATATCCTTGGAAGCTTATTGAAAGAAATAAATTTGAGAAGTAGAAAAATCTCAGTAAAATCAGGTCATTCCACCAAACATGTAATGAAAAAGAAATTTCGTCTACAGAGATAAGGTCAGATCAAAGAGAAATTGGGATTTCTTCCCTTAAAAATGGGATCCTCGTGACGGTAAGCAAATTTAGTCAGGTAAACAAATGATGAACTCCAGCATCACAGTGTATGTCGCTTCTTTTCACTCTATAGACTCTGAAAGACAACGTACAAGATCCCATTACATGTCGACGTAAAATTCAGTTTTCTTTTGATTTGAGTTTTTTTACGGTGCTTAGGTGTTACTCGTCGAAATCCTTGTGGCAGACTCTGATGCAGTGAAAACATGTGAGAAATGCTTACTGATAGTTTAAATAGAATTTGAGCATGTATTTCCTTGTGGTTGCAAATTTTAACTCGATAATTATTTAAGCAGTGGTGAATTATTACTGGTGTCATCTGAATGTTTCTGGGCATAAGAGTAAAGTTTCACGAAATTATTGTCGGTAAAGGGATATTTCATTCGCCTACCTGCATATTCTCGTTCATTAGCATCAGTTCTGTATATTGTGTATACATGTTCTCTAGAATAGAGCTGTTGTTATTATTACTATTATTAATTCACGCCTTAATTCCTTTCACATTGTGCAAGTCCGTTTTCACATATTTTTTCAAATACATTTGTTAAGACTACCACTAGATTATGCGTTGAAAGCAATTCTTAGTCCTTACCACGCATGGGTTCGTTATTTCGTCGGCACACCCAATAATCCTCATGATTTAGCCAGAACCAAGTTGAAAGAGGCGCGCGCTGCAATTGTTCTGGCGACACCAAATACAAAGTTCCGTGATGACGAAGATGGTGCAAATATTATGCAAGCTATTGCACTGAAAGCTAGGAAGAAAAATCTGCGTGTCATTCTACAGCTTCATAATTTCAGAAATAAGGTAAGTGTTCAAAATAGGTAGTTTTTTGAGATCACTAAAGTCCAAAATCACTCCATTTTTATTTGAAAGAAATGTTTACTGGAATGACGTGATCTCTGAGATCATTTCCAGAAGTATTTCTTACTGAAAAAACTGTGTTCCTCTAAGGAAATACATTCCTTAGAGGTTTGACTAATAATAAACAAACTTATTTTAACCTACTTATGTATACATATATATGTAAAGGGACAAAGATTTTCAAAATGTCCAAAGTGAATGCTTTATTCACTTCTCCTGTAGATTATTAAACATGTCAATGGATTTCATCTGTCTGGATGAAATTGGAGTTAATGAAACTCCTGGTATTCCAATTTATTGTGTAAACAGTTTTTTGAGGACAAAAACTATACCAATTACTGAAATATTTAGGCAATAAAAGGAATGATTTGAACTTTATTTTTATAATATGTACATACAAAGCCAGTGTGTATCATTTATTTTAAATCATTGTGAAAAGCGAAAACGTGTTTTCATGGGTATGTGATACGTTTGTGTAGCCTAATGAGATGTGAAAAATTTTCATGTTATTGTGTTCCAAAGATGTAGCTATATCCATAAATTTTCAAAGCTGAAATGCAACTCTAAAATCCATTTCTTTAAGATGTAGTTACGTGACTGATTTCTTTATTTGCTGTAACGATTTCAGTAAAACCCTAATATGATTTAGATAAATCAGTTATGTTTCCTGTGTAGTGCTTTTTATTTAGTCCATTCCAAGTTGTTTTTAATTATTTTTTTCCTGAGTAATTATGGAGTTACAGTTCTATAGAATGTCTCCAGTTAAATAGTTTTTGAGTTATGATAAACCGCACTGTGTTCACATGTGTTATTTTCACATAAGTAATTCGATATCATTAGGTGATTTAAGGATTATATCTTTTCTAATTGCGTTCGTCTATCAGTGCTTGCTTTGTTTAATAGAGTATTTTTGTGAACTTTGAGTAAGACATGTGCTTCCTTTTAGAACTCTGAACTTCACAACAAATCATTCGATAAGAGTTTATGTATCTCCTAGATTCTATCTATCAGCTTATTGTTTCATATTCGGATGCTATAATACATTTGAAATACTTAAATTACAAAAAAGAGGAATTGTGTTTGAACATGCACCTACAACTATGCCACAAGCTTAGAAGAATGACAGTGTACACTTGGAGGCTACCGTAGCTTCCTGTGTACGTATAATGGTGTGTATTTTCAGAATTTCGGACTACCGACCCAGTGTGCTATAAGTAAAGAAGCAATTTATAACATTTCATGGAAGGTAGTAGTCTTTCTGCCTCCCCACCATATAGTACACATTGTAGTGTAATAAAATGTTGCTCTTCAGTTCGTATCACATGATCTCTTTGACCTGAGGATTAATTTGTTTTCAGTGCCTGATGAACAATTTTCCACGTTGGACCTATTTAGCAAACGATATGGTAGTTTGTATGGAAGAGCTGAAACTGGGTTTGATGGCTTACAATTGCTTAGCGCCAGGCTTTTCAACACTGATAGTTAATCTCTTAAATGCACATGGAAGCAAATCAAGGATATTTGAGGTAAGACGTGCGCTTTATTTGTATTTAACTCTACTTAACTCTAACGAATAAAAACGATAATGAAAGCTAAATAACTAGTGAACTGTAAGTGTCTTGTAAGCTAGCATTACTGGTTTTAAGCAGTTTCACTCCAAGATGATCATCACTGTTGATCTTTAAAACATTAGAACTTACTGACAAACTGTTCTGAAAACACTCTGTATTATTTCATCTGAATGCATTCTCAGCCCACTTTATAGCTCCAAATGATTCTGTTAGTCGGTCCGCCATTCACTTTTTTGTAATACACTTGAAAAATAAATGGTCTTTCCATGATTTGTTTCATTCATTTTCACTAGATAGCAGTGTCAGATTAAGGATGGAATGTTTCCTGGTATATATTTCGAATTACTAGACTGAAGGAGCCCAGAAGATAAACCGTGATAGCTAATTTAACTCACGGTAAAATAACCACTCATAGAAGAAACCACTGAACTGGTATCATAAATTTATATTGGAAAAGTTATCGGACTTTGAAATAGTAACGCAAACACTCTGAACGTCAGAAAATTTACCCCTATAGAGAAGATTGTAGTGAGACAGAATTATCCATAATTTTCGTTGTCTCAGAGCTATTAGTAATTTTATGAAGAAATAATAAAAAGAGATTAGAAGTAGCACCTAAGTTACTGTATGACAGTTGGTCATTAAGATGTTCTATTCTATTCAGCTGTTCAAATCGCTGAATTAACGTTCAGAGTATTGACTTTTATCAGTTACCGAAAATTGTGATTCTTTGTTATTCCAAATGAATTCAGTTTACTTAGTGGTCACGCTGCAGGCATTCACCTATAGACTACACTGAGTAGGGCGAAGAGTGTATGACACTGTTGAATATCTATCAGCATAAATACAGTTTATTTACAAGAAGGACTGATTACTGGTTAAGCTGTCTTGCAGATCGCTTTTATTTACGTAACTCTGAAATCAGCCAACAGAATGCTGCAAACTATAACTAAGTATTAGTTGATACTCTACAAAATTAATCATCTAAGATTTCGAAAGTTATGGTTATAGAGTTATTCTGATTCAGACAACTTAGGGAGGAAGTTGAAAAGCTTGTCACTGGGCTATTATGGTCATTACTTGCCAATTTCGAGGATGATATTTCAGAAATACTGACCATAATTCATTGTCCCAAGTGTATTTCAGTTGAACTGTGGTATTAATTTTAGCCTTCAAATCATTTTATTTTCTTAACTGGTTTTTTAGTATGAGCAATGGAGAAAAGAATATGAATATGGATTTCGTATGCAACTGCATGATGTTGGTATTAGTCATGAATTCTCAAATTTATTCATGAGAGACCTAGCCATGTAAGCTAAAATTGAACTCGTTAATTATTTATTCTTTGGTTTGAAATTACTAGTAAAACTTTTTTTCTGAGCATTATGAAGTAACTATGTTATATGTACAGATAGTATTGAAGGGTACAGAGCAAAAGAATAACTTGTTTAACTTCTATTTTTATATCAGAAGGACTATAATGTATAAAACTTATGATCGATATTTAGCAGGCAACCAGTCGAAATTATCATTGCATGACAAATTGTAAGGACTCTTCGAGTGGACAGTGTATCCCTTGGTGTATTAATTATTCCAGGCTATCTGAATGGATTCAGCTCCTTTAGTGAATCTAAACCAATAAAATGTTGCCCAAGCTTATCTAGCATTTACTTTCTGTAGCAATCATTCTGCTCTGAGCATTAATACCATGCTTACTGCTGACGGTAATGTCTAAGTAATTAAAGCAGCGCATATATATATATATATATATAGTGTTCTGCTTGTAAACAAAGTGCTTATGGTTAAATTCTGTAACTTTCTGAAACCACCACTCTTCCAACTTTCCTAATAGGAGTAGAGACTTATTACGAGGCGTTCTGGACATTACAGTAATAATCCAATGATAAACATTTACAATCTTGTTGTTATTATGGGTGATACTGAGTGACTTTTGTATCCGTTCATATGTTTTGTCGGCATATGTAGTTGAGGTAATTCTGCAGATAAGCGGAGCTTTTTTACCTGATGTCAATGAGAATTTATTTAAAAACTTCACACAGTTCTTCCTATTAATAAATTTGAATGAAGCAAGAACGACAATTGTACCAGGACAGTCTGAGCTCATATTTTTGTTTTTATTATTTCGTGGATTCTTCTCAACTGATTACAATCTGAACAATACCAAAATTATAAATTACATTAACGATTTGAATATACTTTCTTTACAATGATAAGGAATAATTGATTGAAACTAAGGGTAACATTGGTCGGGAATGATGTAAGTTGTTAAATATTTAAGAGCGAAAACGATCGACTATTTATAGAAGAACTGCATGACTAAGCTTGGAAACAAAAGGATAGAGTTCAACAGATGTTTTTTTGGGTAGAAACAAAGTTCAACTAGAAAGAGTATACATAGTAATAGATTACGTAATCACATGGAAAACACGTTTTTTACTAAATAGACCAAAGGTGGTAGGATGAGTCATGTGTAGACAAAAAAATCAAGGTTTTTAAACAGGACACATGACGTAGTGAAATTTGCATGCTTTGTTATCACCAAGGCAGTGCAAGATTCACCAGTCTCTTTCTGCTTACATAGATTTAATTTTAGTCTTTTCATGGCTACTGACTCAGCAAAACGAGGTAGGCTAGGTTCCTTTTGTCCATTGATTATTTTGAACGCCTTCAGATTGTCCACAACATGGTCAGTGTCGAGTAGATGGCGTACAATCGTACTGTTTAATGCTTGTGGACCATTCTGTCTCAGGTTCTTTGGTATGTGTTCAGAGATGCGGACGTACATGTTAGTCGGTAGAAACAGTTGGAGGTAATATGAGGTGGAAGTTTGTCAACTTTTGATTGTCTTAAACAACTGGTCGTTTGATAAACACATATAAGCTTGGAGGCTGGATATGTTCACGGTATCTTGAGGCAAATACAGACGTGAAAATCCTAGACATTTACACACAGTAAATAAAAGAAATTACAACTTATCTATACCTATTCTGACCAAAATTGTTTCGACCTCATGTTTATCTTTGGAAAAACTTATAGCGTGAATCATACATCTTATTACAATCAGTTCATCAATAAATATTATAATTTATTCAATAAGTTTTTCTCACTGTTTAATGTTTTTGTCGTCAACATTTTAGATTCGTTTATGAAAAGTGGAACGTTATCCTATTGGCTGTACGCATGAATGGATTAGAGAAGTCTTCAATGATAATAAATCCTATCGAAGTAAACTGTCCGGTGAACAATAATTCAATGCGTGCAATAGTTATTTCCAATGATTACAGTTCTGCATTAAAGTAAATGCCTGTTCAGAATTATTCGATTTTTATGTAATTTTCCTAGAAAGTGTTTGTGTCTTCTCGACTTAGTGACAAGAACTGCTTGAAAGTAGACCGTTCTCTACAGAGTGACCAAGTGAATAAGAACAGAAAGATTCCATTTTGAGTCATGAAAGAGGGTTGTGACAGCAAATAAAGTTTTCTTTACGCAGCATCACTTTCACGAGCTATATAATTGTAATAGCATTTAGATATATGAGGAAATTCATCGAAATTCATCAAATCATGACAGCGTATTACAGAAAATGTTTTGTGTAATGAGAGAAGTAGTTGAGAAGAGAATGGACTAGTGAAGTCTGAGTGATAGAAGATGTATTCACCCTGAATGTTCAATTTGTGGACATAAAAGCGGGTGTGCAAGCTGTTTAGCCCAAATCATTATGGGAAAAATGTGATGCAATGAAACGACAGGATATATATAATTGGAAGTATAGACAAAGTCATCATCGAAATCTTACATTTCTCGTTTTAAGACCAATGAGTGTATGCATTATTTTCCAACACAAAGATAAAATTTAAATCCGCAAATTTTCAGACAGCTACACATTTATTTGAAGCAATCATCCGAAGAAGTCAAATGCTTTAAGTTGAGAATACAGCTACCAATATTATTTTTCTTTCTTCTGGCTAGCCAAACTAAACAATAATATGTGTAAAGCTTAGTCACTGTGATAGTATTCAATTCTACATTAGTTTGCTTGTTGAATATACCGGAGGATGAAACAGTATTAGTTACTAGGTGGCGTTTCAAACACAATTTTTTTGTTCATAATCATATCAGTTAAGAACAATAAATTGTATTCGAGACTTCATCCAGTAAAGAGCTTTGTCTTATTGTGTGATATATCCAGTACGCACTCACTGGATCTCGAATCCATGGCCTTTCAGTTACAATTCGAGCTCGTAGACCATTCAACCACTGGGACCCGGCTTAACGCCCCGTGAATTCTAACTTCCACCAATTCGTGATTTTATCGCGACCACAAGTCAATGTCATTGGCAAGTAATTGTCTTCAATCCCAAATGGGTGAGGCCCATTGTTCACGACTTCTCACTAGAACCCCAGGAAACTTCGTTTTGCAGGCAGTTACTGGCGAGCATCAGACTCATTTTCAAGAGTTTGTATAGATTTGATATTTTTCGGGTTTGATCACGGATTGATATCATTTGAAAACCAGGGAGCCTACTGTCGAAGAGTCTCAATGTAGGATAAAACAGCAGCTGTCCAGTCCTCCCTGGTTTCCAATGGTTCTCTAACTGATACCAATCCATGATCAAACTTGAGACAAATCAAATCCATACAAACAAACTCCTGAAAACATATCCAATACGCAACTTAATGAGAAATTACAATCTAAACATAGTTTTGAATTGGATTTACAGACTTAGCGCTGTGTACGCCTAATATGTTTTGCCCCACAAAAGCCAGTAAACAAATAAATGCTTACTGAGTAAGACTTCTATACTCATTAGTTTCTTCATGGTGAATTGTTTTAAGGTTCTAATAGATGCAAGTTGTCAGATCGAGTTTGATAATAGATACTCCCAAGTGATATTGAGTAGTTCCATATTAGTTTGTTTATTAGAAACAGTGTTTCACTGTGTGATATATCTAATAAACAAACTAATATGGAATTACTTACTACCACAGTGCCCAAGTTTTACACATATATTGATATTGAGCGGTGTTGTCTCAAAGTGTAAACTGACGAAGAATGGATGACAAAATATTTGTAGTCAAAGTCTTAGTTGTACAGGAGTTAGTAAAGATAACAAAGTAGGAAGAAGCAGAGAGAAGAAACTCAAATTCCTTCCGGATTTCAGTATTCATACTTCAGTTTCTCATTAGGAAATTTTAACTTGCATATAGCCTTCAAGATTTGTTAAAGAACTATAGTAATGGCTTTTTTTCACGCGAATTTCAGAAAAGTTTTTTAACCTTTTCATGAAGAATAAAACTTTTATTTTGAGAAAAAGAAGTAATCTGTTTAAAATGAACTGTACTTAGAGACCGGTTTCAGCAAAGTGTTAATGGAAGTAGTCCTTTATTGATTAGCAGTAGTCTAAAACAGCTTTGCTCTAACTTATTATTTTTTATTTATAAGTTTGCAGTATTACTGCGTTACATGCGAAGGACATCTTATTGGCCGACCCTGTAGATGCAGACGACCCGTATTAGAGAAGAGAAGAAAGTTGACGATAGCTAGAGGTGAGCTGAGTACATTCTTCTTCATAAAATGTTAATTATGCCATATTTCATGATTTCGATGCACTAGATTTCATTAAAATACCGACTGAACTAATTAGTCGTTGATAACTTTTGATTCAGTTTCACTCCAAGTGCTCATGATTTAAATTTGAAGCTTGGTAGTGTCCGTTAACATATCAAACAAAAGCCTCCACAAATAATTTGTAAAGTCCTTAATTGTGTAGCGCTGAAGATGGTGTTGGAAGCTTGCCATGGAAACCAAATTCACGGAGAACAATAAAATTGACAGAATTTTCACAACTTAAGTTGCTAATATATACTATTTAATCAAAATGAAATAAGTGATAAATTATGGGAAAACGAAAAGAATTACTTAATAAAACAGTGCATTACTAATAACTTAAAAGATGAGGAAACAGAAGTTCACGAAAAACGAAAAGCATAGAGTAAGCTAGGCTCATTTAAAGTAATGCGAAACAACTATAATTTTAGATAATTTTGTTTTAAGGTTTAGTAGTGTAAACTAAAAGTAACAAGTGAGGAATTTGCTATTTGGTGATCGTTCTTGATTCCAACTTATCTTATACAAAACTTTATGTACATGCGATGTCTGTCTTGTCTGGCGATCTCGACTGTGACTGGTTGTCTCCAGGGATTTTCACCCGTGGAGATTTCCAAAAGTTCATCTGAAACTGAGATAAGCACTAAAGGTGTTATCCAGAAAGACACTGAAAGCTTTGTAGTTTAACTATCCAACTCAGAGAACGTAGCCACCTCTACAACATTCACCTGAGCTCCGGTTTGATTTTACCGAACTGATACAGAATTATGAAATTTAAACTCACCAGTTTTCTACGTCCATCAAACTTTGTGAGAATTTAACACGTAAAACGGGTTTGTGAACTTTGATTACTTTATTCTACATTTCATTCGGTGGATTCATCTTACTGTAACATTAAAATGGTAGGTGAATGTTACATCTTTGAAATCTAAGTGAAATTCACTCATTCCTTTTTGGTTTCATACGTAACGATAGCAAGAAATAACTGACCAGTGGCTTATGCTCTGAGTGAGTACAGTAGCAAATAGAGAAAAATAAAAGGATAAGGGAAGAATTTATCTTGTTCAAGGGTCAACATGTATTTTAAATTAGTGACAAAACCCATTTATCGAAGCCGATAGCTACTCAGATTAGAGATAAGAACAATACACTTGTGACTTGCCACCATGATAAATTATCCAAGTGGTGATTACAAAGCACACATCATATTTCTAACAGTGCTTAAAGACAGCTACTGTGCTACCAGAAAATCCCATCATATAATGAAACTGTTAGTGCCTTAACATTGTCCAAGAAAAAAAAGCTGGAATAAGCTTGATAAGGCATAAAATAATATGCTGGTAGAACGCCTACAACAAACTTCATAGTCAGTAAAGCAAAAATGACTCATACATGTTGTCAGCATTACCACGTCTAAATGCTACAAATCACTAGCTTTTTACTGTGTAAAAATGAAGTTCTGAATTCAAGCACCAGTAATGATTTCATATTTCATCAGAGTATTAGGTCGATTGACAGAAACACCACTTACACGGAACACTGCAGTATTTAACAAAAGATAAGGTTGATGGCTCAAGATGATGTAGGAAATTGCCGAAGAAATCCTGGAGCATCACATGGCAGTAAGAAGACATAATGCATCACCCTTGGTCTCACAAAATCGACTGAGGAATATTATTGACCTACAAAGAGCAAACTCACTGGCAACAAGAGAATTTTTAGAAGAATATAGTTCAAAAGCAAGTCCGATCAATAGTCGCGTAGTCATGGACGAAATATAGGTCCAACTTGGAAAAAACAACAATCAACCCTAAGTTAGTGAACTAAAAATCCATTAATTGGATCAAAAATGAAATACAACGACAGTGAGTGACAACAACAAGGAATCAGTCCTCACATAACCCAATGGAACTTAAGGTCAAAAGTTATCCTTTAATTATAATTGTATAAAGTTTAAAGGTCATGCGACCAGCTTATATACCTCGCTTCTTAATGAAGTTAGTGCTCAAAGTACTAACAAACCTGGTAAAGACACATCTGTGACTGATTTGACCCGTATTATGCCGTGAATTTAGCTATAAAATTCTGTAAGTTATTTCACTAATGGATTATTTTTCGAATAATTTAAATATGTTTCTTCTTTATCTTGTTTCTCAATGGATGTACACTGACGCTAATTATCTATTAACATTCCGTTTGTCATAATTATTTTTAGACCTGGCTCTTTATGAACAAATAGGACAGGCAAGAGAAAATGCTGTAAAAGCGTAAGTTTCTTTAGTCTGTAAGATGAATGCTTACTTCCAGCGCTTCTTTCTTTTGTTTCACTGGGTTAATTAAACGAGTATTATAACAACAGAAGGCAAGACACGGAAGCCAAGGTATATTTTCATTGATCAAACCACTGTTTATATATATATGTATATATATATATATATATATGGTTTATATTCGTTAACCAATGGCTGAGCGTGTGATTTCGGTTTACATCAAACGACACGAAACAAAAATGTTCAAATATACATAGTATTCTTTTCGATAAAGAAAGGAAGACGAAATTTGCAGTATAAAATGATATCATTCTATTTCACAGGTTCTCATCAGCTGTAGACTACCTGAAATTACAATGGTTATATAAATGATAATAACATACTTTAATGTTTGAGTGGTAGTAGAGAAGAGATACTATAAAACTGACGCATCCAAAATGAAAGCATTACAATTTTTAGTTTAAGTTTTCATCATCAATTTATACGCTTTTAAAGTTGAAAAGATGGGGATTCTGTTGCTAATGCAGTAATGAACTGTGGGAATATGTGAGAATAATATTCCGTTAGCATACATTGTCTGTATCACACCACCACAGTATGACTACTCATAAGATCACCGAATAACCAACTTGTAGTCAGCAAAACTATTTTGTCATAGTGATTTGGGTGCACCAGTTCTCCTGCCTTTTTAACCATAATAATAGTCACTTTATCCCAAAGATTAATTTTTCTTATATATAATAGAGTTTTCAACATTTACATATTGCAACAATTTTTCCACTTATAAAAACAGAATCGAAAATCATCACCTCAGAAACTCAAGTTAATAGAATATTAAAGTGTGTAACAATACTGCTAGGAATAAGTTTATTTACAGATTTCTTCACTCCTCTGCGTTAGAGTACAATATAGGGCTTCAGGCTTTGAAATTGCATTAGCCGCGGTGTTGTTTTATGGGTTAGGGTTGCTAGCCTAAAATCCAACCGCCTTACTACCGGCTAGTCGAGGTTTAGATGAGGTGAGTCGGTTGGGAATTCAACCCTGATCATGTGCGTGGTGGGAATGTATTTTAAGGCTGAACCACCGATGCACCCATTTACAGATTATAAAGCCGGTTTATTAGTCCTTTTTTAATATTTGTCTTTCCATATATCACCCGTGCTAAATGAAGAATGGCTGAATTTCTACATTTAATAATAATAATTTGCTTTATTCCAGAAACAGTACTAGTGGTACAGTGTGGAATTTTCAGCACATATCTACAATATTTGCATCTAATTTTACCGACATTTAAAATAAGTATTAAACAAACAAAAAAAATAAATCTGAAGACACCAACAGCAAAAAAAACAGGATAAACACAAAATAATTATGAATGCGAAAAAGTACCAGAGTCTACCAAGGTCTAATGCAGTGTTTGTGGTGGTAGTGTGAGTAATCCTGAATAATACAAAAATTTTTTAAGGTGGTGACTATGGCGTTCACAAACAATGATTGTCAGTTTAATATTGCCGAAAAGTATAGAAAATAAGAAAAAAACAACCACAAAACTAATAGTTACATGATGGTTAATGACAGGACAATTTTGTAATACTCATAGTGCTAATAGAGTCGGAACCAGTGGATACACAATAGAAGGAATATAGTAAAGTACAAAAAAGGAAGCCAATGTTAATATTTCAGGTAGCTAAGTATGTTTGAAGAAGGAGTTCACTAAAGAATACAAAATAAGAGAGAAATAAAAGAGCCTAAAATTATGTTGTTAATAACAAAGCAAGTCACAGGTTTCACGCTTAACATTGTCTCTGTCGCTTAGAACACGGGCCAAGTATGGTATCGTTGAGTTCCTGTACTTGGTTGTACGAGCATAGATTCTTTTATACTGATTTCTGGTTTTACTTGATGAGATACAAGGAGAGAGTTGGGAATAGAGGGGGTGTTGGGGGTCTGAGAGTATGGTTTTAGACCATTTTTCGCATGTATTCAGATGTCTATCAACTAAAGTAGTGACGAGCTGACTGAGATTTACACCACTAGTCCTACTAACTACTTTCAACATCCTTCTCAGGATGGTATAGTCCTTTTTCAGTAGACCAGGAAAGACTAACGGGGGGCAGTAAAGTAGAATAGGTAAGATACAAGAGTTGACAAATTGTGCTGTACAGGTATAAATTTTGATGAAATTTCTTTTAGGTTTTCCTGAAAAGATACAATGAGAAAGTTAGAGGCAAAGACGGTGATCAGTGTCTGACAAGCTGACTTTAGTCAACTGCTTGTAGAAATTAAATGCCTGTCAACAACAGAGTGAGTTGTTGGGCCAATGACAAACCACTAACTCTTCTGATAGCCTTCTATGCCCTACACCATATGACAATCTTTTTTAACGATCCCAGGAAAGAATAAAGGAAAACAATGAAAAATGGATAGAGTACATGAATTAGTAAATTGCAAGAAGAGAGGTGGAGTTACACCGGGAAGTCTCTGCTTCGTTATGTAGTAGGTCAAATGAAAGATTTTTTGAAACCGAAAAGATATGAGACGACCAATAAAGATTAGAAGTGAAACTGATATCGAGATAAGTAGTATTGAGTTTATTTCTTATAACAGTGCTGTCTATATTGAAAGAATCATAAGACTGAAGCAATTCACACAAGTCTTGCTCACACGTGAAACTAAAATCAGCGGTCTGACATTTGAAGGGGTGCAGATTAAAAGCGTCTGAATAAAACTACTGCTTAACTTCAAGTAGGAAACTATTCATATGAAAATAGTCTACTGCAGAAACAACTGGAACCAAGACTATCAGATACGTAATGCAGTTGGTTTTAGAAAAATACGGCAGTTCAGTACACCAACTTGAGGCACATCGGCTTCAGTAAGCAATAAGTGGACAGATTCTCCCTGATGACAGTGTACTAGTCCCTGCCCGAAAAAGAATAATGTTACCACCTCTTGATTCAGAACTCAGGGGGTGTTGAATTCGTAAATACTCTAGCAACAGAATCAAAAGTGGGAGCGTATTCTAATAAGGCATGGAAAACACACTTGCAGCCTCTACCTAGAATGGAAACAACATAGTGGTGCAATACAATGGTGGCATCCATATCACTTCTATTGCATTTGTTAGAGTAACTGAAAGATGTTAACGAAGGTTCATGATAAAAGTAAAAGATGTCTTTCCGTAGTTCTGAAAAATGCAGAAGTGATGTTAATTGGCCCTAACTTTAAATCTAATCCAGAAGGGGAAGATTTAAATACAGCATAATCTTTGTTTACGTCCAAGTAACTGTATCCATGCAAAATGGGGCATGAAAGATTTTTGTAAGAGTATGACAAAAATTGTATGCATACTTGTTAAGCAAAATGCTTGGCACTACTCTGAACCTCGCCACTGTGATAGGTTCATGCTTTTGTGACATCGAAGCCTAAAAAATAACCGTATATGTAACTAGAAGCATTGGATAAGATAATATAGGCTTGCTGTTTTATAAAAGATTGATTTAAGGTATACGCATCTGAACAGGCATCGAAAGAAATTTGTTCTCTGCTGGTAAGTTGACTAAGTAATTTCTAATCCTTGGAAGCACTCTCACATGATAAAACTTTTGAATTGTATGTGGTATTTAGTGATTATATTTCTGACTTTATTATAAAATTCAGTCCACTGACATCAACATTATCATACAACTCATAAAAGTTTTGTTTTTCTCTTTGAAACTTTCTTATTAGTGCACAAGAGATTCTGTCAAATCTAATAAACAGCTTTTCGATAGGACAGTAAATATCCATCCAGAACTTGAGACACTAAGTAATATTAGATATTTACATCCAACACTTCATTGACGAATTTGTCCCAGTCTGTATTCTGCAACAGTGACTGATACTGGATAATCACTTCGATAAGAAAGCTGTTGACAAACAAGTACTGGGACTTTTATGCAAGGTGCTACTCACTTTTGTCTGTTCGACTAGCCGTCGACATTACCTCAAAATATTTGGCATATGTAGTAGTATTCTGTTAGGTAATCCACAAATTAAAAATAAACTGCTTAAGATAGTAGACAAATGTCATTTCTGTATTCATAGAAAGCTCCAATTGATAGTTCAAAATTATAGACTAAAAGGTGTATGGTACCGAACATTCTCCCGTTTGGTCTTTGAATTCAATCCAGTTTCTTTCTTTGCTTTGTGTCTTTCATACACAAGTAAATTGCTAGTAACAGAAACAGACAGACGTTATTTCCCCTTTAGGATCGAATACAGATGTTTGTTTCGATTTCTTTCGAAGTAAATTTTAGCTACCTTATTCATCAAAAAAAAAGAACAAAGTATATAATCATAGTAATATATAGTCAACTGAATACATAAAATATTGGTGAAATTTAGATCCATGAATACGGCAATAAGCAGTTCAAAAGTCCGGATATTGTTTAATAAATTTAATTTTATAGGTGTGGGCAATAGGAACAGTAATACTATGAATGTCATTAAGAAGAATATAAGGAATAGAGATGATGGGAATCGTTTCAACAGTCTGTAGAGTTTCTAATAGTTCCATCCTTTAATAACTCTCTCTTTTGTGAAAACAAATATATATGGATAAAGAAATTAGAGAGTGATTGCACCGTGCTATGTGATGGCTAGAATTAGATAACAAGCTCTGACAACTAACGCTGTATAGAGGATAACAAATCGCATATTCTATCTCAAGATTAGTTCAGGGCAAAATATTGTTGGTCAAAGTTGAACCTTAAAGAGCATGTATGAATGATTCACTGGTTTCGATTATCCTTCAAGTAGCAGTGATCCCTGATGCAAATATCTGTCTTCTGAACTCTTTGAAAATGGCACTTCGTAATGTCAAAAGTTAAACTACGCTATACGAATATAGTCATTTAACATTTTACAAGTGTATTTTCATTGATGTTATATATTGTACAATACCAAGTTGAAAATCATCATTAAATTAAAAATCGACAGGAAACATTGAATTTAAAGTATTATTTAAATAAGGTCAATAAAAATAACAAATGTCATAGTGTATGTTAGCATGCTTTGTCAAAATTAAAGTACATTATTAAGAAATTAGATGTACTTTTATACTATGTGCACTAATATGTACAGTTAAATTATTTCGTGGAGGGCATTCTGCTAGTGTTTTTATCAGATTTTTTTGATTTTGATTATAGCTTGATTCCACACCGTATTTTTCGTACACTTATGGAATTTTCAACATGTGATATCGGTAGCACAAATTTGGCAGGCCGACCATTGATATCAGGTTTGCGTCGCCAGGGGATTGAATTCTGGAAAATGTGCATGGTCGGCGAACGTCCCAACCACTGTGCCACCGACGCGCATTTTCAGGAATATCACACTGACCGAAAATGATCAGAAATCTGTCAGGAAGTAGAATTTCACTGAAAAATAATTTCAGGTTCCATTGTGGATAAAATTTATTTTGAAAATGTGTTATACAGTAATATTTACAATAAACATCACTGTGTAACACTGTGAGACTTAAGATAGGCTGGAGAAGATTTGTAGCTCAGGTGGGTGACTTTGATGTAGTTGTGTTCTCTGAGCTGCATGGTTTATTTGAGAACCTTTCATTGCCCTACTAGGAAACATCTTCAGCGCATACTTCAATTTGAAGTGAGCTTTTAGATTTCTCCACGAATTTATTAGTCATCTCTCCTGGTAACCTTGAACGTAATTGGTTGTTTTTCTGTGTTTTCACACTCTCTAGGCTAATTGTATTGGTACTGATCGTTTCTTTGACCTGAAGTTTGACCCTTTATGTATGACATTTCCTTTTTATCGTTTGGTAAATTTTGTTTATGTCAATGAGCCTATTGATTTACGATTTACTGAAATACCAGGCTTCTAAAAATTCTCTAGCATTCTTGGTGTTTCCTTTGTCTAATTGATATAAGAATAGAACTTGTGCACTATGGTAGAGTATAATTCCATTATGGGTAAAATTTATTTTGATAAAGTCTCGCAGTGTTATACAGTAATATTTACTGATGACATTTCGAGCACAATTTATTGCTCATAATCATATCGAGCTACTCACACAACTTTCTAATTTCGTTTATATAATTCCATTATTTTCCATATTTCCGGTATGAGTGATGAGTCATTCATATTGCATGTATTGGGTGTAAACTCCATGATCAAGGATTCAGTAATCAAACTCTCTCTCCACCTACATAGATTACTTCTTAGAATCTTAACCCTCTCCCACCCTATTGTGTGTTAATGCATGCAGTGCAATTGCTGAGCTTTCTTCTAAATTACTCATCTTCTCGGGGTCAACCATTCTTACCTTAGCTAAATTCTTATGTTCCGACAATCTGACTACCCCCGATCTACTAGTTTGACCCATGTAGTTGACCTAACTCACAGTCATTACAAGGTATTTTGTAAAATATATTTTGTTTAAGTATTGGTTTGTTTAATTAGGTCCACCGTGTCTTTTAGCCTACAGAGCTTGTCTCTGAGTGAGTTTGTAGGTTTGAATGCCACCGTCATTTCTGCTTTATTGAGAATCCTACGTAGTGTATCAGATGTCCCATCCTTATATGGTATAACAGTAGATGACTTGTATGCTCTCTTATTTGTGTTATCGTTACTAGTTTCACAATTATTTTTATTTCGCTTTTGGCCTTTTCTGATCTTCCTAATGAATTTTATAGGATAGTTATTTGATACCAACGCTTCTTCTATCTGTTTCATTTCATCGTTTAGGTCTTTTCTTGTACTACTTAGTGCTACTGCTCGGTTTGTTAAACACTTAACTAAGCCTACCTTAACAGTTAACGGATGAGATGAATAAAAGTCTAAATATCTATTAGAATGCGTTGGTTTTTATAAACGCTGGTGTGCAGTTTACCTTCTTCTATTCGTTTTATTTTACAATCCAACACAGCTAATTCTCCTTGTTCACTTTCTGATTCAAACGTGAATTTTATTCCCTCTACTAGTGAGTTTATGTGTCAAGAAGCTAGAGATTTGTTCTGTTTTTAACACTGTGAAGGTGTCATCCACATATCTCCACCATATTTTTGGAGTAGGATTAAATGTATTAAGAGCAGTATTTTCCCAACTGTCCATAAAGATATCTGCTATGATAGGGCACACTGGTGTTCCCATTGCTACACCTTCTGTTTGTCTCTATATTTTGCCTTGGTATTTAAAGATAGTAGATGTGAGGCATAACTGAATTCATAAAATAATTTCCTCAATGGGCAGCTTCATCCTACTACCAAACAAATCAAGCGTTGGAAAATAATGGAATTATATAAACGAAATTAGAAAGTTGTGTGAGTAGCTCGATATGATTATGAGCAATAAATTGTGCTCGAAATGTCATCAGTAAATATTACTGTATAACACTGCGAGACTTTATCAAAATAAATTTTACCCATAATGGAATTATACTCTACCATAGTGCACAAGTTCTATTCTTATATAATTTCAGGTTGTAGGCAGCTGACGAAAACCCTGCAAATAAAATAAATTCATCCCATCTTACAAAAGCTGTTCTTACTGAGTTTTTTAAGTTAATTAAGAGACATAAGTTCATGAATTCAAGCCGAAATTGTACCACAGCAGGAATTGACTGTGGTTTATAAATTTCCCCTATGTATTTCAGAATATCTCCTGAGATATAACATCATAATTATTTATTAGCACGCTAATGACTATCAACTAATATCTGTTTACTTCCAGTGAAACATGGTCAAGTGAACATAGAGCAGGATCCTTTTTTCGTCATTCATTCACTGCGACTTCACCTGCCTTATTAAATGATAAGAGGAATATGCTATTTGAACAACCCCGTGGACGCAGTGAAACACGAAAGCCTGATATGAATTCAAGAAATTTAATACAACCGAAAGATATTCCACCAAGATGCAAGGATTTCTCACCTGCCGAACGACCACCACATATAGCACAAGTAGATCGTACTGGATCATTTCATTGGGTACCAGATATGCCATTAACAAGAGCTACATTAGTGAGTCCGTGTATATATTTAAAAAAATATTCATTTAGTCATTATATATGAAAGTGTTTCAGAAACGTAAGTGAGAGAGGAACTTCATTCACTTTCATTCTTCTTATCCATCTCACCGACAGATAACTGACTGTTATTCTTCATTTAAGCACCACTAATCAGAACTCAGGGTTCACTACTTATAATGAATCAACACTGAATTGTAAAGATTTACAAAGATCAGTATACATTTAATCATTTTGCAAACTACAGCAAGAATTTACTTGTCATGTTGGGGGAAAAGTTAAATATTCTGGCATTAATATTTTGTCAGCTAGTGAGTAAACTAAGCGTGATGGATAACTTTGGTTTGTAAACTAATTTATGTTAACTGAAATGATAAATTACGGAAAAAATGTCTGATACATTCTGTGCCTATAATCTGTGAAACCTTGTTATTTGATGAAATCGGTTTACTTTTTCGCCTGAGAGTATTTTGAAGTTATACTTTGTGCTTTTCAAATTTGAACTAGATTCATAATTATTACATTGTGGTTTTATCTACTTCCATTCTTTGGACAGAATTTCATGAAATGCCTTAAGCTTATTCATTCACTTGAACCATATTAAGGTATTTTGAGAATCATTGCTATGAATACATCGAAAACCTAAGTATTTATAATAGTAAAAAACTCAGTCTTCTAGGAAATTTGTGGGGTATTTTGGTCAGCGACCTAATAATTGTTTAATGCGTTAGTGAAAACGTAACATCCAAATTTGTGAGATATAAGTGAACAAAGAGATTTTAAATCACATGTTTGGTAATGGTGGAAGTCCGTTTCTTCGTATCTGAGACTAGTGAGTCCTATGTACCTGCTCTCCAGTATTCCCGTTGACACCTAGACCTAAAGCCAGTCGCTTTCAACACCAAAGTTTTATATACTAGACTACTGAGCCAGGGCAGCTAGCTCTAGTGCAAAAGGTATAATTTAAAATTAATTATTCGTATTTGCGATTTTCGTTGATTTATCTGGGTCATGTGGATCAACTCCAGTTTGGTATATGAGCTCCTTGAAAAGATGGATACCACTATGTTGTCCAGATTATTAACTTGTAGTATGCTGTTTGTACGAATTCATAAATTTTTCAGAACAAAAATAGTTTGAGCGAACGATTATTATTTTTTCCTTTAATTCCTACAGGAACATAGGGCTTCAGCCGTGCGTCTCCATTGCGTTCGGTTCTCTGCTAGAGTCTTCACCTGGCTCCAAGTCTGCCCACACGTTTTCATCTCCTCTTCACATGACCTCCTCCAAGTCACCCTCGCACTGACGACCAACTCGCCGCCTCTCTTTCGGGTTTCACTCGAGCAATGGCTTGTCTAGTGATGTCACTTGATGGTTTCCTCAGAGTATGACCAATCCGTCTCCATTTCTTCCTGCCTATTTGTTTCACAATCGGTTCCTGGTTGGTTCGTTCCCAAAGATCCCTGTTGCTGATCTTTTCTGGCCATCTGATCTTGAGTATTGAGCGAAGACAACTGTTAATGAAAGTCTGTAGTTTGTTTGAGATGCTCTTTATGACGCGCAGTGCAAGTCTCTGATCCATATAGTAGCACTGACTTCTTTACATTGGAGTTGAAAATCCGGATCTTATTTTTGATGCTGAGTGTTGTTGACCTCCACACAGACTTGAGAGTAGTGAAAGCTTGTCTTGCTTTGATATCCTCGTCAGTTCCGCCTGTAGTTGAAACGATGCTTCCCAGGTAGGTAAAGGAGGTTGTTTCTTTCAGGTTTCTTCCATTTATGCTGATTGTTGTTGTTGCTGTTGGTGTTGGCCAGGAATCTTCATCACCTCTGTTTTCTCTATGTTCACCTGAAGTCCTACCTTTGATGCTTCTTCTGCCAACTTGTTGCTTTTCACTTGCATATCTCCCAGTTTGTGGGAAATCAGACATATATCATCGGCGAAGTTCAGATCCTCCAAGTTTTTTGTGTGAGTCCATTTTATGCCTGTTTCCTCATTTCCCACTGTTTGTCGCATTATCCAGTCTACTGCAATCAGGAAAATCATTGGCGATAGTAGGCAGCCAGCTTGTCTTACTCCTGTCCTCACTTCGAAGGACTCCGTAAGTTTCCCATTGTGGATTACTTGGCATGCAGCATTGTCGTATAGCTGTTGGATGAGATGTATAATTGTCGGTGGCACCCCGTAGTAGCGAAGTAGTTGCCAAAGCACCTCTCGATCGACGCTGTCGAAGGCCTTTTCAAAGTCGATGAAGTTGAGATAGAGAGGTGTGAGCGAACGATTGTTTCCAATAAATTCTTCTTCAGGCTCTATAATTATAAATCCATTAATTAATTTAAGCATACAATAGTCAGTAAAGGCAAATTAGAATCATATCAGAAATGTATTGTGGAACAAGTATAAGATGGGATGGGACAATAGTCAGTTAGTTTTCAATATGCACCCTCAATGAGAACATGAGATGAAATAATTATATATATATATATATATATATATATATATATATATATATATATATATAATATAATCATCAGCAAAAGTATAGGTTTCAAGGGTGAGTGTAATCAGTGATGTGTGAGACAATACCACAGAAAATAAACCAACGAATGGAGTGGACTAGACATAAGTCCACACATAAATATAAACACATTATTAAATTATTTCATCTGATATTCTCGTTGACGATGCATATTAGGAACTAACTGACTATTATTCCATCCCTTCTTATACTTGTTCCACAATACATTTCTAATATGATTCTAATTTGCCTTTACTGGCTATTGTATGCTTAAATTAATTTATGGATTTGTAATTGTAGAGCCTGAAGAAGAATATATTGAATGCAATTGTTCACTCTATCTTTGTCCTTATAAATTTTTACTTGAAAATTGTGCTACTCATTATTATTAGGTAGTATATGTAGCGAACCATAATTAAAAACCAGTATATGAGAACTGTATTCAGATAATGGTAATTAAGCCATTCAGTATCTATGTATCACTATACAATGAGAGGTAAACTAATTTATAATAAGTACCTGAATTATTACCCATGTGCTGTTGTATTCCGTCCGAGCGGTCGAATGATCAACGGGCTCGCCTCCTAACATGAAGGGCTTGAGTCAATTCCTGGTGGGGTCATGCGTAAGTATTGCTGGAGTGTCAGGCTAAAACAAAACAGTTGTCCAGTACACTCTAATTTTCAATGGTTCTCTAGGTGACCAAACTTGAAACCCGTTAAATCTCTGCAGGCCAATATTCGGTTAATACCCATATGTTTTCTATAGAGGAAAGCTTAAGCTACGAATGGAACTCGAGACATCTGCAGAAATCTTTCCCCCCAAAAATTCATCAGCATTCTAAAACATTTTATTGACTGTATTCTGTCAAAAGTTCGTGGCCATTATTCAGCCTTACCATTATTGTACTTATTTCAGAGCCCGAATCAAGCAGCCAGTTTGAATTTTAGCAAACATTTCCTTGTTTGTGTCGCTGGGAAGTCGACAAATGGACCACTTAATTTGGAGAATTTTATTATGCCGTTGCGGTTCCATTGGCAGCGTGTTCGGGATATCGTAATTTTAGGAGACAGTCATTTAATTGGTCCTTTGGAGTGGATAAAGCTAAAGAACCTCCCCAGGATTTACATTGTTGATGTAAGTTGAATTCAAAGATGACTGATAAATTTAGGTGTCAGATTTATCAAAAGTCTGAGGGAATTTACATTCCAATTTTCAAACTTTATTAGTCAACTATCAGACATACAGGATTATTTCGCTTTTTCTAGGAAATATGAATATGACGACATTTATTATAAGAAGTACTGGTTCTTCTTTTCGTATTTTGAAGGTGTTTCACTACTACTGGTAATAAAGAAAGTGAAGGTGCACTCATTCTGACCTTTTCTTGGTTCCTCAAAGTCGATAACCTCTTGGAACACTGCAGAAGTACATGATTCTGATTTGTTTTTATTCAGTCATAAATTAGTAAGATGCAGTCAGAAATAGTAACAAAATTAATACGAAAAAAATCTGTAGTAGGGAAGTCACTATGTGCTGAAACAGCTTGATTTAGTAATAACATTCCGTCACACTTTATAGTTGAAGTCCTGTGTTCCACTCGGAACCCAAAGGGATAATAATACTCTTCACTTGGTGCTTACACGTCATCTGCTACAAATAACATTGCTATTAGGAGGCTAAGCAGCAACAGACTACATAAGACATGCGTTTTATATCTATCGTAACTCGAACTCACACAGCAGAAATTATAACTCCTCTAAAAGACTAGAAGATATTCCAGAAGAGTCGTGTTAAGTTATAGGAACAACTGTCAAATTACCTAGTTATTCGTAAGCAAGGATTGGTTAGTGCATATTCATTGTCGAAGTAAGAAAAAATAAAAAATATGGTTCATCCTCCTTTTACAATAAAATGTTCCTTTTTATTCATCCTCTAACAAGTGAATATAAATGATGTCAACATATTTATAGGCAATAATACAGAAACATGTGAAACAGAAAAACTTCGCTGCGTTGAAATTCCTTATGCTCGCTGGTTTAATTCTGGACAAAGCTTTCTATAAAATGTTGTCCAATTTCTTCAATGAAACTTGATGACTGTTGAAGAAAGTGGTTATCTCATGACATCGGTAAAACTAACCGATAACAAGGGACTGACTGGTTTCAACATAGAACCTTGCACCGATGTGCAGCAGTTCAAGTCGCCACACTCCTTGTAGCACACAAAGCAAGAGAAGAAATGCATAATAGAGACAGTAGTCAGGGATATGAGACAAAAGGAATAGTAATAACAAAGAAAACTGTAGTTTCATTGGAAATGATAAGTCACAGGGAGTGGATGCATCTGCGCCAGCCATTGAGAACGATTTTGAGCCATATCACCAATCGTCTCCATCTAGTGGTGTTTACCGTCCCGAGGACCCAAACCACGAAGTCTACACCTTCCTACGTGGCTAGCTTATACTAACTGTTGTGGATTTCATTGACTGACGAGGCCATATTTTGGTTTGACCGCCGTTAGCTCTTTTCCAACCTGACCCTATGTCAGCTAGCATTGCCCGTCACTCGAGGAAGGCGATGGCTAGGCATGCATACGTAACACATGTCCTAACCACCTCAATCGATGTAACTTCACAGCCTCGTCTATTGATTTCCCCTCCTTACCTCGGACTCGACCGACGCCTAACCTCAATAATGCTCACCCGATTATACCATCCAACACGGGAGATAGAACGCAGGCACCTATGACCAAAGACAACCAGCCTTTTCATGTCTCCCACTCTCAATGGCCAGTTCTCACAGCCATCAACGTCGGACGGAGCGGACTGCTGAGCATTACATACGCCCTTCGGTCGATGGCCAACTGGATATCACGTCTGCGCCAGAGACGGCGTAAACTGGCATATGGGAAACTAGCCCTCTGTATCCGTGATGAGTTTTTGTCAGTGATCGACCCGTTGGCGCTGACTGATTCAACTTCCCGAATAAGTGAAGTGGTCAACGTGCTCTACCACTTCACTCCCTACTTCTAATGTAGGAGTCAGTGTAGTCCAATCCAGTTCTGCAGCCTTATCATCTTACATTTGGAGGGAGAGAACCGCATGCAAAACATTCGCAGATTGCAGCTCAAGTTGTAGCAAGGGAGGCCATTACAGTGATTGATAAAGTTCTATAAATAAACAAATCAGAATGCAGTTTTATCTACAATAGAACTTAAAACAAAAGAGTTAATCATAATAGCTAATACTAAGTCAAACGACTAAGCAGAAACAAAATCATCTGAGTACTCAAAAGATAACTACTGTCTCCACTAGCTATCATATCACACTGAAAAAGGTGAGCGGTATGTTACAGAAAGTTGAGTCCAAAACCAAACTAGATGCAAGTAGCACTCATACCCCGAACTACTAAACCCCCTGTTATTTCATAAATACGTTTTTTAGACCTAAAAACAACCGACTAGAACTGTTGTTGCACAATTGACATTGAGAATTTCTTTGATTTCTCATTACAGTTCAGCTTCCTGATTGATATGAAATGTTACGTGTAAATTTCTACATTTTAGTAAATGACTATGATTTATATCAATAATTTGCTATCCGTCCTTACGAGCAGACTTGTGTATCTGTTGGTGATTAATTACTTCAAGTTATAATCTTGAACTTAAATATTATTCAAGATGAGTTGAATATTTGCGAATAATATACACTTAGTGAGTAAATAGGTGAAAACCGCTGTTCGTTTGGTTTTATGTTAATCAGGATATAGGTTCGTAATCTGCATAGTACGTATGACTTGCAGTTGTCCAAATATACATTATCAATGGACTAGGTCAGGTTGCAGCTAGGATCAAATTGTCTATGAACTTGTTTTACTTGTGCGGAGTAAAGCCACCTGTGGCCGGAATAGTAGGCTCAAAAAGCTAAGATTTTCTCTACTAAATAGTAGTTCGAAATTGTGAAACTCATTACCTAGCAACCAAAAGTCTAAGGACATCAAAGAATGAATCTTTCGAACTATGCTTTACTTAAGTTTACGTACCAGCTCCACGAGTTTATATATGAATGTATAAAAAACTTCACCTCGGGATTAACAAAAAGCATATGATAAATACTCTTTAAAAAAATTCTTTACAATCTCATGGTGGATTCTAGGGAAATGAGATAGGAAGGTTTATATAACTTTCAAAATAACTGAAATTGAGGGCCAAATCATCGATGTCTCATAAATTAGAGTACTTCTTATTTCTTATAATGACGAAACGTGTTAACGACTGGAAAACATTGTAGATAGGTGAAACAAATAAATGGTAAACTTCCTGATGCTCTACATGTTAATTATTAAATATTTTATCAAAACAAAATTTCTGATTTTCTACGCGTTTGGTGCTTTTGATTTTGTAACAGGGAGATCCATGCAGTTTTAATGATTTACATTCAGTGCATTTATGTCAATGCAGTGCTTGTGTAGTACTTGGTTATAGCGCAGATGAACCTCACTCACAATGTGTTGATGCAAGTCTTCAAGACAGAATCACGTTACTATGTGCAATGAATATTCGATCACTGCTACAAAAGGAGCAACACTTAGTCCATTTAACAACGGAATTAAGTGAGTATGTTTATCCGGCATCGTTTAAAGCATTCAATTAATTCTCTCAAAATTAAATAACCAAAAAAGAGCTGCGGTACATACAAAGTCCCGATTCTCTTTAGATTTTTATTGATAGCAAATAGACTCCGGTTAGCGACGACCTTCATAAATATTGATAAGAAGGAGAAAACTGTCGGACACGATCCATTTAACTTCTTACCAACTGCAAACTCACATTTGTCCTCATTTTAGTGTCATGATAAATCAACAATCATATCCGCGTGTTTATGACGTAGGTAGTGTGTCACGCTTATTCTTTAAGGGTTGGTCAAGCTAACTGTCGACTGAAATCTTATATAATCAGAGGTGGGCTATCAAAATCAATAAAATGTTTGGTTAAGGGAATGTTTTTTAAGCTACATGACGCTTTCAAACGATTCTTCCTTTCATCTAATTTTACTGAATTTCCACAACCTTGCCACATGTATTCAATTAGTTTCTCTTAGTTTTGCCACTAAAATACTGAGATCAGTGAAATGATTAAAAAATGTATATGTCAGGTGAATAATTTCGGTGTTATTGCGTCTTCTGCGATTCACTGAATTCAGCGAACACAACTAAAACACACTGCGGAGCTCTCAATATGTAGGGAACAAACGAGAAATATCTATAATTCACTCGAAGCTTCCTTTTTATTTTCATATTCATAAACACAAATTAGTGAACGAGAGACGAAATTACTAGAAGCCCAGTACTCAGGGCAGTTCAACGAAGACTAAGTGAAACACTCGAAAGTCAAATATCAAGTCATCGAAACTATAAATCTGAATGCCTCTGGTGACAATCGCAGACACAGTTAGCAGAAAAACTGTTTATTTCTTATGTGATGAATTAAAAAATTCCAGTGTTTTTTGAGATTGGCTCTGGTGATGTTATATACAGCGTTAACGGGATTTCCACATTTAAGCCAGTGAAAAATCAGAAAACGCGAAAATGCCGAAGACTCAGATTAACCCCAGAGAATAATAATTACTAGTATATCGTGTGCATTCTGATAATCGCTTTTAACATTTTTATATATTTTAGACTATGAGAAGAATGCTTACTTGTTCAGCTCAGGTGATACACATGAAAATGATTATAAACTGCCGGTGTGGTTTAGTGAACCATTTGCTAGAGGCATAATTTTCAGCAACACTTTGTTATATAGCTGTTTAAGTTCCGTAAGTTATTAACTTTTGTTAAATTGAAAATATCTAAGATATAAATGTCACTTTTAATGATGATTCAAATAACAAGATAATTCAACAATAAGTACATCTACTTCGTTTAAACTTTCAGAACAAATGAACATTGAACCATTTTTGCATCGTATACAAGCGTACCACAGCGAGCAATGGCTTCCTCAGAATAGTCACATTACATATATATATATATATATATATATATATGATTACGAGCAATAAAGTGTGCCCGAAACGTCATCAATAAATATTACTGTATAACACTGCGAGATTTTATCAAAACAAATTTTACCCATAATGCAATTATACTCTACCACAGTGCACAAGTTCTATTCTTATATCTAGTTTGGGATTTATCAGAAATACTCACTTACCACCCCCTGCCTCCAGGAATCAAGTCTAGAAACTTAAGGTTACGAGGCGAGTACATTTTCAAATCTTAATACCGACGTTAAAAGTAGTCATACTGTGGTGAGTGCTACTGATAATCCGATATAAGTAGTATATCAGGAACGAAGTAACAACATGTTTGGCACACCGAAAAGATCAATCAAAGAAGAGAACCATGAGAAGAATGTTGCCGTATGATGCAGAATCCAAGAAGCTATCGAATGAGACGATATTCGACCAATTCGTCAAGGATTTGGTAAAGATGTGCAAATGGCCGGTTTAGAATATGGTATTCCAAATTTAGCTATGTACCATACGTTTCACCGAATAAACATGCCTTTCAGTCTCCTCAGTCTTGTCTTCTTTACAATACTACTGAGTTATTAGATTTGAACAGATATCTAGTAAAGAAATTCCTTCAAACCAACTTACATGCATTTAAATTCCGGAAAATAATGTTACAATCAGTGCTTCTTCAGGAATCGACTATGTTTTAATAAACCTATTTAAAAAATAGACACGACTACCTAATTGTCTACCGATTTCACAAATATACTACACATGTCGAGAATTTATCTTGTTATAAACTACATAAATTCAATGAGTTTCTACCCTAAGCAGGTGATATGAATTGCCTTATAGATTCTTTTCTTACTAAGAGGTGTTTAAATGAGATATCAAGTGTCTCAATATTAAACATCACATCTACTGTTACTCATTTCACACAGGGCACCAATATTGTCAGTCACTAGTCTGAAACAAGGCAAAGCAGCAGGACCTGATGGAATGACTCTAGGAGTATTTAAGTACGGTGGAGAAAGTTTACTGTCTGCATTAACTGAGGTTCTAGGCAGCGTCTGGGAATCAGAGGAAGTCCCGTCGGGTTGGTGTAAGTCACTGATTATCCCCATATACAAGAAGGCAGACAAGTCTTCCTGTGATAATCACAAAGGGATTAGCTTATCTAATATAATATCTAAAGTCCTAGGCTCAATAATCTTGCGTAGAATAAGTGGTGTTCGGGAGGCACAAACACGAGAGAACCAGGCAGGCTTTAGACCAGGAAGAGGGTGTTTTGATTATATCTTCAACCTTCGACAGATTCTAGGACATAGGCATAGTTGCCGGCGTCCAACAATCATTATATTTCTTGACCTAAAGGTGGCATTCGATTCTGTCGACCGAAAGGTACTCTGGCGATGCTTGCCTGTGAAAGGAATGCCGAGAATATATATCGCACTGATCGAGGCACTCTACTCGAACTCATGCATACAGCGAGTTGTCATCTGAAGTGGTGACGACAAGTGGTGTCCATCACGGATGCCCATTATCCCCATTTCTATTCAATTTCATCATAGATGCTCTAATGGACTTAACCCTAACTCACTTCAGAGACTCAGGGATTGACTTGCTACCAGGGAATAATCTCGTTGACTTAGAATATGCAGACGATATAGTCCTTCTAGGCGAGGACGCTGACAAAATGCAGAGCCTTATGAGGAGCTTGAGCTGCAATCTGCGAATGTTTTGCATGCGGTTCTCTCCCTCCAAATGTAAGATGATAAGGCTGCAGAACTGGATTGGACTACACTGACTCCTACATTAGAAGTAGGGAGTGAAGTGGTAGAGCACGTTGACCACTTCACTTATTCGGGAAGTTGAATCAGTCAGCGCCAACGGGTCGATCACTGACAAAAACTCATCACGGATACAGAGGGCTAGTTTCCCATATGCCAGTTTACGCCGTCTCTGGCGCAGACGTGATATCCAGTTGGCCATCGACCGAAGGGCGTATGTAATGCTCAGCAGTCCACTCCGTCCGACGTTGATGGCTGTGAGAACTGGCCATTGAGAGTGGGAGACATGAAAAGGCTGGTTGTCTTTGGTCATAGGTGCCTGCGTTCTATCTCCCGTGTTGGATGGTATAATCGGGTGAGCATTATTGAGGTTAGGCGTCGGTCGAGTCCGAGGTAAGGAGGGGAAATCAATAGACGAGGCTGTGAAGTTACATCGATTGAGGTGGTTAGGACATGTGTTACGTATGCATGCCTAGCCATCGCCTTCCTCGAGTGACGGGCAATGCTAGCTGACATAGGGTCAGGTTGGAAAAGAGCTAACGGCGGTCAAACCAAAATATGGCCTCGTCAGTCAATGAAATCCACAACAGTTAGTATAAGCTAGCCACGTAGGAAGGTGTAGACTTCGTGGTTTGGGTCCTCGGGACGGTAAACACCACTAGATGGAGACGATTGGTGATATGGCTCAAAATCGTTCTCAATGGCTGGCGCAGATGCATCCACTCCCTGTGACTTATCATTTCCAATGAAACTACAGTTTTCTTTGTTATTACTATTCCTTTTGTCTCATATCCCTGACTACTGTCTCTATTATGCATTTCTTCTCTTGCTTTGTGTGCTACAAGGAGTGTGGCGACTTGAACTGCTGCACGTCGGTGCAAAGTTCTATATGGAATGCAGACAGACAGACGGACAGATATTGTCAGTAATATGTATCAGTTATTATTCAGTAAGTTTCATTTCTCATTGAGTGTATGAGAACTGTGCACTGCACTAAAACAATAGGGTAAACTAGGAGGTTACACATCCTACAAAAGACGTTTCTTTAACCCGACTACCTCAGCCGCTATTTAATGGCTTGGGAAATAAAAAAACTTTTGGTAGGCAAAAAATAAAATATCCAACGTGGAAAATATATATAATAACAAGTGCAGTGTTTATTTTATGTTACTGGAGTACTTCAAACACTTTAATTTGACTGTTTTTAAAGAATTTTAACTACTTCGTTGACTTTTTACCCAGAAACATGTTTTCTGTAATTTAGTTCTTCTACAACGATAACGTTTTTCGTTTCCTTCGAGTTCTAATATCTGGACAATCAACTGATGAACTGGAAGCATCGTTTTCTGTTGGAGCAGGTGAGAAGTAGATTTTATGCCATTAATGACAGTGTTGTTTGAAACAGACTTCCCTTAGGGTCAGTTTACTGAAGAACTAACTACACACTAATCTTGAAACAAAAGCCAAAGTATGTGGAATGATCATTTTAATGTAGACAGGAGTTTCATTTATGTCTCACATAAAAAAATCATTTCCCTAGGAATTCGAAGTAAGTCCCACGGAAAGTTAAAAACGACTACCAATGTCAGTATAAATAATAAATTATTATCTGACTTCAGAATTAATGAGTAAGCGAAATTTTATGGCCATCACTCTAAGAGTGTAACATCTACAGGTTTATATGCTGATATTACCTTTAAAAGATACATATTACATAGGTTAACCGATAATGCACTATACGTTATCTAGTCTGTATGCAAATAATACAGTTTTATGACATTCAATGCTTGTTCTTGGAAGATTGTTTTCTGTAAGTTAAGTCAATAATAATTATTCTTTTTACCTTCCTTGTTTTGCCCCAAAATAGGTCTTCAACAAGGTACAATAAAGCAGTCCACTCGAATGCCTGGAGTGAAAGTTTCCTTGCGTGGATTCCATCATGCTCCTTTCAAATTTTTGGCTAGAGAGCCACGTCGAGTAAGTAGACTGAAATAAAACGGAAATCTTGGCAGAGTACTCATTTCAATAAGATTTCAAGACGTTAAATTCACTCTTTTTGCCTCATAGTTCAGTTATTATCTTTCTTTTGAACTTTTCTTTACTCTCTTCTGTTGCGTTATGTGCTGCATGGGGTGTGGCAACTGGAACTGCTGCACTTCTGTGCAAATTCCTATGTCGAAACCAGTCAGTCAATCAGTCTTTTCAATGCATTCAGTAACTTATCTGGCAGAAAAAAAGCAGAGCTGAGACATTTAGAACATGTAGACAACATATGCAAATTTCCAACAAAGTGAAACACTTCTTGCAAAAACGAACTCAAACTTCTACGTTTGTATTATATTTCCGTTTTAAAAATGTGAAGTGAAAGGCAACAGTTGTTTTAGTGACTAAAAACTTAAGCAAAATAAAGACTCAAATCAACTGACATGTTGCTAGGCTATTCAAATACATTAGAATACTGTGTCCCAATACCAGTTCGCTCATAGTCCTATGTCTTCTGAATGACTTAGCAACATGTCGTTTAAAGTCAGTCAGTTAACTCTACTGTATACATAAAAAAACTCTCATTAGCTCAATACAAGTCTACATAGCTAAATGACGTCCAGATTGCTCGACAACTTAGTAACCCACTTCTAGCAAAAAAATTCATGATTATTAATAATAATGTTCTGATAAATAGATAGTCGGACTGATAATTCTACGTTATAAACTCCTGGTTATAACACTTCACAATCTTTTATGTCCGGTGGCGAATAAAGTATTTTTATCAAAATCCCACTCAGCTTGTTATTAATTCACTCAACACAACCTTCTCAATATCATTATGATCTTACATGAATAAACCTCTTTTTAAGTAAGTTCATTCATTTGTTTTCGCTTTCAAAGAAGTTAGGACTTTTAATCCTCTGACAATATTCCCAGCAGACTACATCTTGATACTGCTTTGCCGAAACTGACAGTTGTTACTACTACCTTTTTTCTGCCCTCCTTCGAATCATTCAAGGTATTTTGGTCTGTGTGTGATTGACACTCAGTTTAGGAGTTACCTTCTAAGCGATTGGAAAAAGACAGTAGTGTATACATACTCGTTCTAGTGGACCACATCACCAACCGTATAGTCAAAGCAGTTTGTAAAACAATCTAATGAAAGCAAAGTGATTTTGGTTTTTTGTATCTCTGAATCACAAAGCCTACCAGATACAATCAGGTCTGCCGGTATTTGCACAACTGTAATTACATATAACTATAAGGTGAAAGCAATCATCTCAAGGTGAATCCATGTTGAAACTCCATATTCCTTTCAGTATCACGATGGGTACATCTCATCACATATGACTTGTCTGGTTGACAGTGTTCTCATTGAAAGCAAAACCAAAATATATCAAACCACTTATAGTATATCTCTCAAATTTTGTAAAGAGATTTGAGCCTGTTTCTTAAAAAAATTGAAAGGTATAAAAATTACAGTAAATAATTACAACCCTTTTTCAAATAACTACAAATGCTTTATGTGCGATCTGGTTAGATTTCAAGCACTGTTATGTCCTAATCTTCCCACAGTTGTGAGGCTCTATTCCTTCTCAAACATCCTATATAATGTTTTTAAAATCTTAACTCGCAGTGTACGTAGATAAACAGTATTATTTGTCGACATATTTCATTTGGTGTCAGACAAAAACTTTAACAGATTATATCTGCTGTATTTATTACAATTTGAAAATATTGTAATCTAGAATTTCCTAGTACATCGACCATTAAACATTTCAGAAACCATTAACTTTCAAAGAAGTATACATGCGCTGTTTGACATGTTGGCAAATTCTTTGTCTTGGACTGTACAGATGGCAGGAGCGTGGATTTCGTTATGTTATAGCCAATCCAATGCCAGATACCCAAATCTATGAAAATGATATGGTGAGTTAACAATTTTTCTTGTATGCAAACACTCCATCGAAAATTGAATTTCCAATGAAAGTGATAGTAGAAAATAAGTCGACCTTTAAAACTGTTCACTACTCTTTTCATCGACAAGCTCAGTCTGGTAGCTATCATTTGTTATTTTATGTAAGAGGCACTTTTAAACATTACTGCATTTTTTGCGAAACTCAAACCAAGGGTACAAACTAAGTTGTACAGCCATCTAATCAATTTATTAATTAATGTGGTAAAACGTTCGTTTGATCTTCGAACCCCTTCTAAACCTGGTCATTAAAATGGAAATAATGTTGAAGTTTTTACACATATGGACGTTTAAATGAACTATTGCCATGTATATATATATATATATATAGCCTTAGATAACTGAGAAAAAGGTACACTTCGCTTCTGATGCCTAGGTCAACGACCCCATGGCTGCACATAATTCTTAATTTTACTCAACTTATCGTATACTATGATTGTGGCAACGTATTTATCATATTTAAGTTATTTATTAAACACATGGGTAACATTTCAGTACGCGAAAGTAGTCTAGGAAACTTTAACCAATAATAAAATAATGCTAGCGTATTGTTGTAAACTTCACTCTTAACGGTGTCTGAACCGGAGGGGACGCTTATGATGAGGTACAGATATTACTCATTACGGCTTAGTAAATGTATATTTGTTGACAAGCCTAGTATAACAAGCAGCATTGATCGCTAGAATATAATGTAGTGCAGGCCTGTACCACTAGTTAGTTCAAAACGGATTAGTTAACTGACAACTTGTGTTACAGAAATGCTATGCGTAAACATTCCACGTGCATCGATGCTTTTTATTTTGTTGCATCTTCTATAGACTTCCTATCTTTATTATTGTTTATGTAGTCTCCTTCACTTTTTTCTTGTTTTAGTTCTACTGTTTCATGTCAATTGATCAAGATGATACAAATAAAAATTGGAAATTTTCAGAGATTATGCAACCACAGCCATATGAAAGTACATAAAAAATTCTTATAAATTTACACAATATTTGTATTTAAAGAAAATGAAGATGGAAAGACGGACAGGAAGCTAGAGTTTACTTTTTGCTACTATTTCATAATAATTGGCATTTGTTATCTTTAAATTTACTAGTTCATCACTGAACATCCAACGAATTTCAAATATTATTTCTCACAAGTGAAGTGATATTCTAAAACACAAAGGATGGCTTATTTCTGTATACATATGTATGTGCGTGAATTTGTGTACACATCAAAACAAACGTTTTCATAGTACATCAGTAGGGAAACCACTTGTTGACTAGAAACTACTCAGCTCCAGACTGTATATGAAAAAGATAACCTTATTGTTTCGAAATCTTGTAAGAAAACTTAACAAAACTAAGTATCACGACATTGCGCTACAAATTAAACACATCTTGGAGATAAAAGTTTAAAAAGGAGGTAACAGAGATGTAATAAAATAGCTGGATAAGTACATCTCTGTTTGGGTTCTTTGTTATTTCGACTCGATACGTACGGTGACCGCAAGAAAAGTTCTGTGTTAGTGGGAAGACTAGCTACTCGCCACCGAAGCGTTATGAACAGTAAGGAAGACATACTGTTTATTGTAATATCAACTACTTCCATCATTATGTAGTACTCATATTACTTGAATCAGGCAGATAAAGAAGACGGAGTTTTCTGTTGACTGGGTGGCTTTTGCTACTGTTTTACAATGAAAGAGAATAGTAATTAATAACATTGTTTAGACTATGATATAAAAACGGAATTATAAACCTTGATGTTCAATGTGTAATAAGTTCTAATTATGCCATAACGTTACATGCGCTAAACTGTAAATTCAATGTATTAAAGCTGAATCTACAGACCAAGATTGTGAAAGTGTATTATCATGTGAATTTACCTGAATATTTAATAGATTAGAATTCTATCTGTAGAACAAGCGAATAATATTTAATAATCAGTTAGTAAACATTTATGTCATAAGTAAGGTGGAATGAGAAATGAGAGCACAACATCACTTAAAACGGTGGCTTCTGGATTAAAACCTACTTGCCGAAAAGATTTTAATTTCGTTTCAATCCTCGAATGTTCTACCCAGCTTTCATATGAATCAAAGATAAACATCTATTCGTACAACGCAATACCGGTAAAGCAAAATATATATACCCCACTTCCAATCATTCTGAATCCGATAAGTAAAAAAGACGGTTAATGATTGCTAAGATAATCTTAAATAACCGATTGTACTAACTTCACTCCTCCAACTAAACGCTGACCTTGTTCGTTTTTCACTAACTAAGCAGAACACTTTTCAATTCCAGCATACCTAATGATAACAGATACTATAAATCCTTAGGAAACAGCTGCTGATAGTAAGTGGACTAAGAAATTTTGTACTAATTCCGTCAGAATTTTACTCCAAAACTAATGTTGGTCCATCAGAAATCAGTAATTTAAGCTTAAATTATAGTAATAGTAAAACATGACAACAATGAAAAAAGACCAACCTTATACACAGAAAAAACAATCAAAGTTGTATTAAGAACAAAGTGAGGAATATGAGATAAGTCCTAATGCACATTATTACATAAAAAGAAACTGTTACATTTAAGAACAAGTGGAAATCCATTTGGATTAAATAACGAATGAAGATTTGTATAGTTCTTTATATCAGGTGAATTTGTTTCACCGCCTTCACTCAAGATGATGCTACAGGATTGGACTACATTGACTCCTACATTAGAAGTAGGGAGTGAAGTGGTAGAGCACGTTGACCACTTCACTTATTCGGGAAGTTGAATCAGTCAGCGCCAACGGGTCGATCACTGACAAAAACTCATCACGGATACAGAGGGCTAGTTTCCCATATGCCAGTTTACGCCGTCTCTGGCGCAGACGTGATATCCAGTTGGCCATCGACCGAAGGGCGTATGTAATGCTCAGCAGTCCGCTCCGTCCGACGTTGATGGCTGTGAGAACTGGCCATTGAGAGTGGGAGACATGAAAAGGCTAGTTGTCTTTGGTCATAGGTGCCTGCGTTCTATCTCCCGTGTTGGATGGTATAATCGGGTGAGCATTATTGAGGTTAGGCGTCGGTCGAGTCCGAGGTAAGGAGGGGAAATCAATAGACGAGGCTGTGAAGTTACATCGATTGAGGTGGTTAGGACATGTGTTACGTATGCATGCCTAGCCATCGCCTTCCTCGAGTGACGGGCAATGCTAGCTGACATAGGGTCAGGTTGGAAAAGAGCTAACGGCGGTCAAACCAAAATATGGCCTCGTCAGTCAATGAAATCCACAACAGTTAGTATAAGCTAGCCACGTAGGAAGGTGTAGACTTCGTGGTTTGGGTCCTCGGGACGGTAAACACCACTAGATGGAGACGATTGGTGATATGGCTCAAAATCGTTCTCAATGGCTGGCGCAGATGCATCCACTCCCTGTGACTTATCATTTCCAATGAAACTACAGTTTTCTTTGTTATTACTATTCCTTTTGTCTCATATCCCTGACTACTGTCTCTATTATGCATTTCTTCTCTTGCTTTGTGTGCTACAAGGAGTGTGGCGACTTGAACTGCTGCACATCGGTGTAAAGTTCTATGTCGAAAACAGACTGACTTCACTCAAGAATAATTCAAACGTACGGTAAACGCATAATCGGTACTTAGTAATTATAGGTGCTCTGTAGAAAATCTTGGGTTCGAACTTTATGACTGATGGTAACACACTTAACCCGTGTAACTTCAATGAAACTCAAATATCTTTAAAGACTCAGACTAAGAAACAAAGCTAATAAAACGGCTCGACAACACTCGGTGTTGGACTAACTGATCAAGTGATGTGTTTATTGTTTCCGCCTTCTGAATACAATCTCTTGTGGATAGTTCAAACGTACTGTAATATTTTCAGTCTTACATAGAAGGGAAAACATTCTATCAGATTGTAAATCAAACGAGTCACTTTTCGAGCTTGAGTGATTTTTGGCTCTTAAATACGGAGTAAGCAACAGTGATTATAATCCCATGTTATATCAGACACATGATTAGGTCTAAAATAATCGTAGACAGCAGACAAAACGAAGTTTCACTATATAAATTACAGTAATATTAGATTCTGTCTAGTTATAGCCTTTCTGCACTAAAGTATTCAAATGAATTCCTAAACACTATTGTGCCTAGTATTCTTCTGATAAAGAGATTTCAGTTACTCCATTGAATAGTCTGATGCAAATCTATTGAAGAATATCTCAGTAAATGCTTTCATTATATCTATAAAGTGTCAGCTACTTAGCAGTAGGTATGTATGTGATGATAGGAGAACTGCATCCTTTGTATGAAGAAAACACTACGAAACAAACAAACTGGAAGTTTTGCATTCTCTCTCTCAAACTGTAATGTACAGTGTTTTCATATATTTTCCCTTTATAAAGTAAACAATGTAATAAAAGTCATACTCTGCTGCTCAAAATATAAAAACAAGCAAATTAATCGTATGGTCATGTTCAGATTTTTTTCCAATCATTAGTAAGCCGATGAAATTGTTTATTCAACTTCATCATCTTGCATTTTTCAGTTCACCCACAGGCTGAATAACAAAGAGTGAGAAAATACCAACAGTTTTCAACAAGGAATTACAGAAGCTTTACTGTTGCGAACACGAAACACTATTAATCGATTGCCAATGTATACACAGAAGTCAATACTGATATAAATATGCACAGTTCAAATGATTACTTATACCACCAGCTTTTTATTTAAACTTTTTGTAGACATTAATTAATGTGTTTAAAAACAGTAGTAGAAGTTTTTTCTAGGAATACAGAATATTATTATTATTCACAGAAAATACTTCTAATCATGTGTACAAAGCACGAACACTGTCTAAAATAAGTGTAAATTTTCTACCAATTGAAAATTTATTTGCCGTGAATATGATTGTTCCCATTAAAATAAAGTATCACAGTTTTAATTCTGACTCCTACATCTAATATATATATATATATATATATATATATATATATATATATAGATAGAGATAGAGAGAGTTGTGTAATAGCTAAAGTAGCTTGAACTACTCATGATTGGTTGGATAATAACCGAGGACCAAAGAATATTAAACAGCTCCTACTTCGGGATTAATTAAATCCCTACAGAACTAACATCTGTAGACTTATTACTTTCGATTCACCCAGTGACGTGCCGCAAGGTCGACTAAACCGCACATGTATTCAAGTCTTCGAATGTTGGTTTGAGTCATGTAGGGAAGTGTGGAATGCTTGGTTAGGGTCCTCAAGACGTTATGAATCAGTGGCTTGAGACTGCTGGTGATGTGGCTCAAAATCTTTCGCAAAGGTGCAGATGCATTCATTCTCCAATTCCCCACATCCACTGTGTCCACTATGCCAAAGTTCGAAGTTGAGACTAAGTCTGAAAGTTTCATACAAGGCACTTACAAAACCAGTGGAAAAAACTGTCCTATAACAGAAATAATCAGATGAAGATTAGTAAAGATTTCCTAACTACTGCTTTTACCTATCGCGAGGACCCACCAGAAAAACTTCACCCTTCTATGTTGTAATCCACACCAGCAATCAGTTACTTCATGGGTTGATTCCATGTTTCTGTCTCATTATACCCAACTTATTTTGACCTCCGCGATCCAAAGTCAACTAGTGAATTGCACCTTTTATGTCTGACCAATTTATTTACACCCATCCGTTTAGGTAATAGTTGAGATGGCCGCTGAAATACAATACAACATACATCCACGGATCGATATGCCAGAGTTGTGGCTAGTGATGTCTGTTGTCCGATTCAGTGGCGTGGTTTTGACAAACTATCGGCTTCCATCGCTATTGGTGGTCACAGAGTTAAGAGACCTGTCTGCGGAATAGTGTTAAGTGGTAGGAAAGCAAGATGATTATGATGTAGGTAAAGGTGAGTGATGATCAGGGGAGCTTTTTGTGATTGTGAAAGTGTGTGGACTG